AGTAGTGGTCGCAGACCGAGGACTAAGACGGGCTAACGACGATATAGCGTCTACGGGAATACTAATTATAATGCGCGAATATGTCGATTTAATGAGGAAATGTCTGAGGAAGAGGACTCTGAATAGTTTAGATTGAATCCATGAGGTGGGTGTTGATATTTGCTCCTTCATGTCATGTGGTCGTGGTTGGGTGGCCCACTCGCTTGTCTGGCCCACTCGCTTATCATGTACGTTAACCTTATTGGTTAACTTAATAGATTGACAGCTTCTTATTGGCTCTACCCCGCCCTTGGCGAAAATGGCGTCAAGTGGCACTCGATGGGATACTTGGAGTAAACCACCCGGATGTTACGAGCTGGACAAGGCAACCAACTGTGGCACAAAGCAAAAGCTTCGATAATGATGACTCCGGTCATCATTGTCCCTTGTTCTGCATATATAGCTACGCGCCCACAGTGACAAGTTGCGGCGGGCGTAACACCGGACTTCTAAGAATTTCTTCTTCTCTTTGTTATTTTACGTTTCGTTTATATTCCGTTTACCTTTGATATAGAAGACTTTGAGGGAATGATAGAGAGTATTCGGCTTCTCGATCCAGCGCAGCATCCCATCCAAGCCGAATCAATCAACCAATTAATCAACCAATTAATCCAAGGCTATTTCCCCATTTAATTAGATAAGCCTATAGCGCCGAAAGCTTAGCTGACTTGATCAAGCTAACGTTGCCCGGAAAAAGGAAAATCCGGGCCCCCAGACTAATCATAGTTTTTGAAATAACTTTCAAAAAATAAAAAAAAGTCCATCTGCGTATGTTATGGACGTCAAGTTGGTGATGCCCTTACGTTAATAGGTGGCTAATTGGGGCCGGTACTTTCTAGTAGTACTAACCTGACTGCTAGGTCCTGCCAGGAAGTGCTAGTAAAACGCGCTTTTTGCTGTAAGGCTTAATTAACGCGTTTTTGGGCCCCTTGTAAGGGGTTGAAAAACGGGGGTTTTCGACCCCTTCTACCAGCCCTTGAAAAACGGCGTTTTTTCGAAGTTACTACTGCCCTCGTTAACGACGCCGTTAATCCCTCAAAATCCTACCTATACGCCATCATTAACGCCTTTTTTAATCCCTCAAGCCTTACCCTAATGCCTCTACCGGCCCGCAATCTATGTATTGATCACTTCGTCGGCCGCGAGGCCTCGACTCCTCGCGGGATCGCCGCTCAGATTCGCATATCATCTACTACTACCAGCAACGCATCGACAGCCGACCTAGCCACGCGCAATACTCTTAACGCCTTACCTTACGCCATATAAAAAGGCCGGCGGTTCGTCAACGTTAACGCTATCTTGAGGAAGGGTAACCAAGGCCGTACCTCTTAGATCACAAACGAGGGCATCTTCGTCTACGAGATCCTTACCAACGGCGTAAAGGGTAATACCTACCGGGTTTGCCAACGCTACGACGAGGCAGGGTTTCTAGACCAGCCCTTCAATACTAACGCCATATCTACTGCTGCCAGGCATCTCGAGAACGAGCACTCCATCTTCCGAGGTGGCAAGAAGGCTGGCTATATGTCTTCTGATGAGGCTGACGACCCTGGGCCTCCATCTAAGCGCCACCAATCTCTTCCTATCGCCATACCTAAGCGGACAACTACCTAGATCGAAGAGCTAGCTAAGGGATTCCTCGTTGATACTAGCAACCCTCTCACAACGTTCAGTAACCAGTACTTGCAGTATATGCTCAGCCTACTTAATCACAACGTTAACGCCCAGATCCTGTGGTCGAGATCTAGCTAGAGGGAACAACTTTGATAACTCTATATATCCAAGAAGGAACAGATCGAGACCGAGATATAGAGGGCAATCTCGAAGATCTACATATCGTTTAACTTGTGGACCTTACCTAATCAATACGCTATCGTCGCCATCTATAGCCACTTCATCAACTAGTTGGGTAAACAGACGTATTACCTCTTAGGTCTCCGCCGCCAACCTGGTGCTCACTCTGGTGAGAATGTTGCTACCACGATACACACTGTTATGAAGGACTGGGACCTACTCAACAGGATTGGTGTGTCAGTCTCTGACAACGCTAGTGCTAACGACACTTGTATCAAGGCTCTCTACCCATCTCTATTACATTTAGATATAGAAACTGACGCTTAACAACGTCGAATTCGATGCTATGGCCATATCCTTAACCTCGTTGGCCGTGCCATCATTCATGGCGTTGATGAGGAGGCATTTGAGGAAGAGTCTGACCGTCTTATTAACGCTGGAAGAGTGGAAGAGGACCTAGCCTACTGGAGGACTAGGGGTCCAGTCGGCAAGCTCCGGAACATCGTCAAGTATATCAGATTATCGCCATAACGTTCTGAGAGCTTCTTAGTTATTATTAACGAGGCTATTGATGATGATGATGCCTTTACTCTGTGGGAGGAATCGTCATAAGAGCTGAATCTGATGTTGAGTAACACTACTCGATGGAACTCGATATATAACATGATTAACCAGGCCCTACTCAAACGCACCTAGATCAACGGTTACGTACGCCACACTCTGGGCCTCGGAAATGACGAAGATCATGTCCCAAGTGAGGATATCCTTACTAATAAGGATTGGTAAGTCCTCGTCGAGTTAAATAAGGTTCTCGAGCCCCTCTATAAGCAGACCAAGAGATGTGAGGGCTGGGGCAAGGGTGACGGGCATGGTCGACTCTGGGAGGTTCTGGCATGCATCGAGTATCTCTTGGATCGACTCGAGGACTGGCGCAAGCTTTACGATACCCCTACTACCGAAGAGATTAATCTTACGGCTACCTAAGTATCCTAAAGTCTTTTATCATAGCTATCTCGACTAGTAAGGGCATCGTATCGATCTGCCAGAACGCCAGTCTCGCAGACCCTATCAATTAATAGTATCCTAACTTATACCTAGTCTAACTATATTGCTACTTCGTAGCAGAGTTAACCGCGCCGCCCCTAGGATATTAACTTCGACTCTCACGGATACTTACGCCTATCGATTATTAATGGTTGGCAAGTATTTAACAAATATTACCTTAAGCTTGGAGAGTCTCCTCTCTACGCCACAGTAGTGATCTTATACCCTGGCCGGGGCCTACGATGGCTTAAGAAGCGTTAGAACACCCCAGAGACGCGAGGATGGCTTTATAACGCCCAGGAAGGACTTCGAGACTATTGGGAGCAATGGTATGCCGAGATGACTACCCGTCCTAAAGAATCAACCTATCTAGAGCCTCCTCCAGAGCCTCCGCGAGGGTCTTTTGTATCGATCGCAGTTCCTCCGAGGGTTGAAGACTCTGACTATCGTCAATGGTTAAACAGCAGCCTCCATGACGCTACTATCGACAAGGTTGACGAGCTGGATCGATACTTCACCCTCTCAGTTGCCCAGCCCGTCGACGATCCTATTCAGTGGTGGATTTCACATCAACAGACCTTCCCAACGCTCAGTAAACTTGCCCTCGACTCTTTGCTATCCCAGCGATGGCGACCGACTGCGAGAGGGCATTCAGCCTTACTAAACTTACGCTGACGTCACAGAGGCTATCTATGAAACCATCACTACTTGAGGAAACACAATACCTCCAGAACTGGGTTCGAGGGGGCAGCGTTGCTATTGGTAGGCATTACTTCAAGCGGAAGGGTTAACGGAGGGCAGGATAACATCAGAACATTAGATAATGTAAGTTTCTGACACATAGAGACATTGTGAGAGCTTCACTGACTTCCTAAATAGGTAATATTAATCAATTCAATCCAAGCCAGTCAAATCAAGCAAGCTTCTTGTGAAAAATCAGTCAATCAGACAAGCCCGTCACCCAAGCTTGGCTTGATTGATTGGTATGCAGCGCTGTCTCGATCCATGAGCTTTTCTTCTTGTTTGAGGGCTATGCTGAGGGTTACCATGGATACACGCTCGATGAGCTCGCCAACTTCAATGCAACCGGCCAACGCGTCTACTTCGTCACGTTGGTGTTCCTGCAGTGGAGCAATATCCTCGCGGTTCGGATATGGAACCGGAGACTCAGTACTGTCCAGGCAGATCCAATCACTAAGAAGAGACGGAATCCATAGCTTATTGCGAGCGCCATCATCAGTCCCGCTATTGCAATCTTGGTCACCGAAGTTCCTGGGATTCAGAAACCTTTGGCACAGCTTCTGTTCCAATTGAGTTCTGGCTCATTCCCATACCTTTGACGTTGGGTATCATGTTCACAGATGAGATTCGAAAGCTACTTATGAGGCTGTTTCCGCAAGGTCCGATTGCCAGAGTTGTGTGGTGAGCAGTGTCTCGGAATATGACAGAAGATAAATGGGTAGTCTGAGGATGTGGGAGACCAGACTGAATTTAGTGTCAACGCCTGCTACCTCGAAGCCGCTCTCAAAATAGATGAAGGATTACATAACCGGATCACACCAAGGCGTTCTCATCCATCTTATGATGCTCGAGCAGTATTGTGTACATGTAGTTAGCACTCCAAATTGCAGAAATCTTTATCTAGTAAACTGTTTTCATTTCAAACAGCAAACTTGAACGTACCTCGCCAATTCGAATTGTTGGCGCGCGCCTACAAGGGACGCTAGGGTTGGAGGCCACACGGAATTGAAACACATGGATCAGGAATGGCTTATCTAGGACTGATCCGGGATGAGTGCGGAACCCTGCCCAGTTGGATTTGTGTGCCGTAAATAGAAGGCCATTCAAGTTTAGACTCATTTTGTATCTTGTTGGCCAAGGATTGAGCCGAGTCTCCTGCATTTCAGCTGTGTCAGGTTGCGTGCGGTTGGGTGGTATGCATGGGCTGCGCCGCTCCCTCCGAAAATGAACTAACAGAACGAACCAACAAGCCCAACGACGAGACCGTGGGGGTGACTATTGAGGACTCTTATAATTTCCTTGCTCGCCACGGAAATTTGTCTTGATTGACGAAGTTATCCGTAGCTCTCAGCTCTCTGCAACTTGCGTAGACTATGGCAAATATGTCTCAAGCCACCCTTGATTCTGGAGCTCTCGATGAGTTGAACTCCGTCGAGACTCGCATCTTATTCGACACCACCGACAAGCTTTCCTCACTTGGCATTGGCAAAATCGTGAACCTCCCCCAAATCATTGTCGTGGGGGACCAGTCATCCGGAAAGTCATCTGTGCTTGAAGCGATTTCTCATGTCAAGTTTCCCGTTAGCTCCGGCTTGTGCACACGTTTTGCCACAGAGCTGGTTCTCCGAAATGGCACACAAAGACGCGTCAAGGCCACCATTCGGTTCCATAACGATGTTAGACCTGCACAGGAAATTCGGGTCGACTTTTCTGAGGGAGAAGACATTGGCAAAGTCGTTACCGCCGCCAAAGAGCACATGGGCCTCACCGATTCCAACAGGGGATTTTCCAAGGACGTTCTACGTCTGGAGGTCGAAGGCCCAAATCTGTACCCTCTCACCCTGGTCGATCTACCCGGAATCTTCCACACCGCGACGGCAAAACAGTCGGCGGAGGGCAGAACAACTGTCATGGAACTGGTAGAAAGTTACATGGAAAAGAAAAACAGCATCATCCTCGCCGTCATATCAGCCAGTAATCAGCTCGCCAACCAGAGAGTCCTAGAAGAGGCGGCGAAACACGACCCCACAAGGGAGCGTACACTTGGGGTCATTACAAAGCCAGATCTTCTCCATCCAGGATCTCCTGACGAGCTCGAGTATCTTCAAGTGATCAGAGGCCGCGAGGTGGTGCACAACTTGCAGCTGGGATGGCATGTGTTACGGAACCTTCCAGACTACGGCAAATCCGAGGCAGATCCTGACTCTCGGGACGTAGTCGAAAGAAACTTCTTCGAATCCGGGTCCTGGGCTTCCATACCGGTAATCCATCGGGGCATCTCTGCTCTACGAAAACGTCTCAGCCACATTCTCCATGATCACATCAAGAAAAGCCTACCAGGTGTTCTTGGAGAAATTCAGGAGAAGCTCGCTGAAAATGAGGCCGAGATCACACGCTTAGGGCAGGCCAGATCCAGTCATGCCAGCATGAGAGCATATCTTGTGGACATTGCAGGAGGCTTCGAGAGACTTGTTCGCGACGGCATTCAGGGCCATTACAATGATCCGTTCTTCGGCGGCTTTGATGGCACTGATCGGAAGTTACGGTCTCACCTACGAAATTTCAATCGAGCCATTCGTCATATCCTCATTGTGAAAGGGTCATCACAGAAAATTTCCTCTGCCGTTCCTAGTCCTAAGAGACGGAAGTTCATGCCTCCGCATCTTGAAGAGTTCCTCGAAAAACATCCATACGACCTTCAGATACCCGAACCAATTACCTGGTCGGAGATGGCCACTCAACTGGAGCGGCAAGCGGCTGCAAACCAAGGGACCGAGTTTCCCGGATATGCCAATACGGACTTGATTGTGCAGCTTTTTCGGAGACAATCGAGGCCCTGGGAGGCTGTCGCCAGGCTACATTTGAAAAAGGTTATCGTTGTTGTAAAGGGCTTCGTAGATCAGGCATTTGAGCACATCGCTGGACCCTTAGGCACCTGTAGTACCACTTCCAGCATTCTGTCGACTTGCGTCGATCCTTTCTTTGATGCAAAGGAGGAGATTCTCGAGAATAAGCTGCGGGAGCTTCTTCGACCTGTCCAGCAAGGATACGCGCTACCTCTTGATGCCGACTTCCAGGAAGCTATGGACCGCAGAACTTCTGATCTTGGTGTGGAGAATGCCTCAGGGGACTTCGACAATGAAAACTCAAACGACGGAAGCTCAGAAGGCTCGCAACATACGGGAACCGGAATTTCACACAGATGCAATGAGTTCGGGACCCAATGGGCCATAGAAACAATGCAGACATTCTACGACGTAAGTTTTGATGTTTAATTCAAACAATCAGTCGTAAACATACTGACTTGACGCAGATGGCGTTGCGCACATTCACTGACAACCTGATCAACCTGGCGTTGGAGAGCTGTCTCATACAAGAGCTCCCAGGAATCCTAACACCGAAGGATGTTAACGAAATGGATGACACAAGGCTGGAGGAGCTCGCGGCCGAGTCGGAGGAGATCCGGGCGCGGCGTACACAACTACAGAGCGACATTAAGCTGCTCAAACAGGGCCTGGGTCAATGCCGCCGATACAGGCCCAGAGGCGTGATGAGTAAGTACAGTTCTATGCCTTGTCGACCAAAAGAAGATGGCCGACTGATCATTTCCTCAGATCAACCCACCACTCCCACCAAGAGCGCTCAGCAAGAGATTGCTGGAAGATTGTCCACAAACGGTAAAAAAAGTTCGATCACTTCAAGATAAGAACCTTCGTGCTGACTTCCGATGGCAGCTAAACCTCACGGCCAACAATCGAGCCAAGGATCCATACCAAAGGCAGTGCCCATCGTCAGAACCCCCACAGAAACCGAGCAATCGGCCAGGACACCCCCACCTAAGAAGACGAAGAGCCCGGTGGTCAAATTACCTCCCTCCGAAAGCTATGCTCCAACTACTGTGAAGCCTGAGAATAGCTCTCCAACTAAGAACAGCGGACTCTGGGGCAACACGTACAGAAAACCCGCAGCATTTGGCGACAAGTCCGGCAACCTGTTTGCTTCAATCCCAACTCGTCCTGTGAGTACGAACGGAACATCAGGACGGTCTCCAGAACAGCCAGGAACGTTCGGCTTTGCGAAGGGGTTTGGAGGGCTGGGAGTCACAGAATCCAAACCCCGTTTCGGTGGGTTCGGGGGTAGCCCAAGTGGCTCCTTTACTTTTGAGTCGCAAAGCACCGCTGCGGCCACTTCGCCGTTCGGATCCAGCGAAGCAAAAGTTCAGGGTGAGAAGACCAGCTTTTTGATTGCATCAAGGCAGTAAAGAGGTTTCTTCTCCGGCTCACTTCCGGAAAGACCGTGCAATGGCCACAGGAGCAGCCGTCATAGTCAACAAGAGCCCGGAAATGCTCCTTGCTCCCCTTGCTCCATGGAGTGGCTATGAAAGACCTGGCGGGAAACCTACCGGGTTGGTAAAGGTTGGCCATATTTGTTCTTCGGAGACTTACAAGAACTTCTCACCAGAAGAGATTAGGCTGGCAACATATAAGTTGCTTTTGTATCCTTAGCCACTTGACAAGCAACCGCCGCGTAGTGTAGTTGAGGGAACAGATCCGGTACCATTAGTAAGTGTTGGGCAGCGATTATCAGGTAGGGGGTCAATGGGATGTATTGATGAGTATGAAGAACGAGTGGCTATGGGAATATCCCGACTATCTATAACGTGGTTGATAAGCGAGTGGATCAGACAAGCGAGTGGATCAGCCGACCGCGACCACAGCACATTTGCGACCGATACGCAGCACTAAGAAAAGTAATTCAATTAAAACTATTTAAGATCCTCTTCTTCAGACATTTCTTCAGCAAATTGACATGTTCGTGCATTATGACCAGTGTTCCCACAGACGCCACATCGCCGTTGGCCCGTCTCGGTCCTCGGTCGGCGACCACTACTCCGGCGTGTTTCCTCCTCGATCTGAGCTGTTGCTTCTCTCTGCGACTGAAGGTCCTCAGCCTCAGCTATAGTAAGACTTCCTCCTTGTCTGAGACGTGTTTTCTTAGCCCTCCGGCGCCGGCTTAGTAGGTTGTTTTCCTCACGAAGGATTTTGTTCTCAGACCTTAATAACGCAATCTGGTGCATAAATCCACGCGCCCCCTTTGATAGATGCTCAACAGCTTCAATAATTGAAGTTGGTGAGCTATTCTGATGGCGGGAGATCCTCCTTTTGATGAGTTCAGACTGAGAAGATGCTTCTGTTGGGTTGTTTGGCGTCTGAGAAGTCCACGCAGGGGGTGTTGTTGGGAGGGATCCTGGAGGTGTTGGAGTGTGTAACCTGATATCAAGCTTTGAAAGCACACTTTCGGCACTCAAAGGGACAAGCCCAGCCCCTCTGAAACCTCCCTGAATGTTCTTTTCCGTAATAGCTTGGGCAAAAGCCTCGCGAAACGCAGGGAAGAAGTCTTCCTTTGTAATATGCGTATTACCCCGGCGCATCTTATCCTCAATTTGTCGACCATAAGCCGTCTTTAGTGGCCCAAAGCACCCAACGTCTAAGGGCTGAAGCAGATGAGACGAATGGGCCGGCATACAGAGTGTGACGATATTGTTTTCCTTGCAATATATCTCGAAGTCGGCAGCGTGGTGACTTTCATGCCCATCGACGACGAGGAGGCGATAACTGCCAGTTGCACGCAGTTTTGTATGCCGATCAAAGTGCTGGAGCCAATCTAGGCCTCTTTCGTTTGTTGTCCATCCGTTGTCAGACGTTGCAATGACCCAGTCGCGTGAGAGATTGGTTTCCGTGTACCAGGTGGAGAGGTGATATTGGCCTGCAACGATGATATACGGCGGGACGCTGTAGCCCGACGAACTAATGGCCTGAATGACTGTAACCTATTCACGGTCACCAGGCTGCATCATTTTCGTGTTTGAACGCCTTTCGGCGCTCGTGACGACCATCCCAGATGCAATCTGGCCCATCATAAACCCAGTCTCATCAAAGTTATAGATATCAGAGTCTACAATACCATATTTCGCGATTGTGTTCGCCATAAGGCGAAACTATGCGTTTATGGCGTTTGGATCTTCGCATTGGGCCCTCTTGTAGTCGTACTTGCGAAAAAAGCGCGTCTGGAGCTGTGGTTGTCGCTTGACGAAGTTCGAAGCCTAGCGCTTCCTAACTGGGGGCGCGTTGCGGTCGGCGAGCAGTCGATTAGCTATTTCTTCCACACCTCTAATGCGGGGAGGGAATGATCGGGAATCTAGGTCGAGAATATACTTAATTAGCTTCTCTTCTTTAAGCGTAGTCAAATTCCGCGATCTAGGTATAGTGTCGCGTCGTGATAACTTTCCCCTTAGACGATGGCGTAAGGTTGAGAAGGGTACTGAGTAGATCCGGGATGCCGCTCGGATACTAAGATTTGGTGTCGTTTTGATAGCCTGAACCGCTAAGGTTAGCTGGCCTTCATTACTTTGTGATGACATGCTTGGTTGTGGCGTAACGCCTATGAAGGGTGGAAGATATGTTGGTCGCGGTCGGCTGATCCACTCGCTTGTCTGATCCACTCGCTTATCAACCACGTTAGGCATAAAATAAAGAAGTAATAAGACCGATAACTTACACCACTACAGCAGGCACCGTTCACACATGGCGTGTTAGCGTTGCAGGTTCCCACGGGAAGCTCTAGGTCCTCAGCAGCAACAGTGTTCCGCAAAAGACCGTAAGCTGAGTTGAGGGCGAAATAAGACTCTGCGACGACATGATGTAAAAGAGTGGACAGGACCGAAGCGGTCCATGAAACCTGGAGAAACCGCATGGCTGTGGAGATCAACCAGCAGAAGAGGTTGCAGAGAAAGTGGGAAATGAATGAAACTCAGCAAAGACTCTGTGGATAGGCATCAAGAGTTTCGTCGCTCGTGCGGATGCCTATGGTCATTTAAGAGCTTTTCATTCTTTTTCTTCCATTCTTTATCGTTTTTTTTGGAGATAAAGAGCATATCTCCCTCGGTCGGTCACGATTACTCAAATCGTCGTCTGCCGGCGGCGCCCGAATGCAGGGGTTCATGCGCCTTAATGGGCAGGTGAATCAGTTCCCGCAGCGCTAGAGGCGGGAATGCCCTTGCGGAAGAGGATGTCTTACCACCCTTGCAGAGGCTTCAGACGAGTCAAATCTGATCTGCAGCGCCTAGTGCTTATTGTTTAAATTGTCGAATCAGCTTAATACAACCCCGTCCCGCTTTGCGCTCGCTTCCTGCTCGCTTCCTTACTGGCGAGTTGTACATGCTTCTAAATGCAGGGTGCGAGCAAGATTCGAATCCATGGGCTTGGTATAGGTTTTGGTCGGCCCAGATGTCCTTGGCAATGAGCTTGATATGCGAGTTCGTGGTTCATGACCAACATACAGCATCGCAATCATCGAGAAAACAAGTCCCGGACAGAAACCCCTTACCATTGCGTCCGTCTAAAGATATATGCATAAGTCACATGCGGTATTGGATGATATCGGTGCCTATTTTGAGCAAGATCTAGGCTCTCGACGAGAAATGTCTTAATCTGCTCAGCCGAGGCAAGGGTTAACGGAGACCCGGGGACATACCCGAAGCATTTCTGCGTTTCCACCGCGTGCGGGAATATCAAAACTATTGGGAATTCCGACTAGACGAGTCCTATTAAAACTTGGACAGTCTATATACTCCAACCCAGCAGTCGCCGCCCTGCCCACCTTTCATCTGTCACAAGCTTCCACTCTTTTATCTGTGACGATGTTATCAATTCAGCAAGGCCTTGCTGGGCTGGCACTTTTGCCATTCGCCTTTGGCGAGCTGGGTTTCCAACTATATCCGCTCGTTCCTACCCAGCCGATGGCTGAGATGCTCGGTATCAGCGAAAACTGCGTCAAGGCCCTGTGAGTCCTCCGCCCATGAATATGCCTACGTCGATCTAGACGACACTAATACCGCCAGCAATACCACCTTGCCATGCGACAAAGACCTGTTCGGATGGACTGTCAAAGTCGACGATGTCTACTGGACTGAACAGGATGTTAGTACCCTGTGCGTCTCAGGCTGCGAGACCAACGTCCGAACATGGACAGAGACCGTGGCCTCCGCTTGCAATGAAGATTGGCTCGTTGTCGGCGACCGTGCCGTGCCGGCTGAGACGCTCAGTCTCCGCTTCGCAGAGGGCCTGGAGATGGCCTGCCTGCGAGACACGAGCAGCAAATGGTGCCTGCCCGCGTCCTACAACTGGACCGGCTCGGACGTCGTCCAAGTCGACTGCGCAGCAAATCCCGCGGACCCGTGGTGCATCAACCCGGCCAATGTGTCCGCTGAGAACAGCCGCATCTCGACATTATACGATGATGATTTGCTCTGTTCTGAGTGTTTCCTTAATATGCTCTATCGCCGCGTGACGTCAGAGTTCCTCCCAGACACCGACCATTCTGACTATCTCGTTGGCGAGTTCCAAGACATCCAGTCGGTTTGCCAGACGAGCATCGGCCCCTTGGCCACGCGCGCTGTCCCGTTGTACCCCTACGCCACGGAGCTCAACGAGACGGCCCCGGAGCCCACGGATATTCCGTCCACGGGCGCTCCCATCCTTGGCGATGAAGGGTCCCCGTGGGACCCTGAGGAAGACACCTCGGACCCCGGCATTGATGAAGAGATCCCCGACGGAGAAGAGGATCCCGACGAAGCCGAACCGGAGCCGGAGCTAGCTGAGCCGGTGGTGCCGACAAACTGTACTGCACGTGCCGTCGATGCTCGGTATGCCAGCCTGGACGGTATCGAGGCCTGCAATGAGCTCGCTGAGGAGTATGGCGTCGCAACGGGCCAGCTCATGTACGCAACTAGTACGGAAGATTGTTACTCGTATGACTTCGTCTGCGTGCCGGAAGCCTGCGATCTACTCCGCGTCAACGCCGGAGATACTTGGTCAGTACCGCCCATCTTGCATCGTAACACCATCTCCGTCTCACGAAGTGTTAACGTCTCCATCGCTACAACAGCGACACCATCTCGAAGGCCATATCGAATGACACGGAGCCGACCAGCGTTGCACAGCTTATGACCTGGAATCCTAACCTGATGGGTGCTTGTGATCATCTGACTGAAAGCCAGTACCTGTGCATCTCGTGAGTATCCCGTCGTTCTTGAACCCATTAGCTTGCAACCCCTTAGGCTCGGCCGCTGAAACTCTTGACCTTCCAGACGACCTGGCGGCACTTGGGTGAAGCCGCCCGATGACCAGATCCCCGAAGACTCCAACGGGCCTGTCCGCGGCGGTCCGGAGAGCACCGAGCTTCTCCCCATCATCACAGACCCCTCCACCGTCCCGGCCGATCGCAAACAAGAGGGCATCCCGGAGAACTGCAACCGCTTCGTCAAGGCGGAGAACACCGCCGCTTCATGTTGGAAGATCGCCAACGACGCCCAGATCACGCAGACCAGATTATGGGAACTCAACCCGGCCTTGGGCGCCGACGGCGAGCACTGCGGAACCCAAATTTGGCTCGGGTATTACTACTGCGTCGGCGTCCCCGGCGACGGCACCACCGGCCCAACCACCACGCAAAGTCTCCCGGCGACGACCGCGTCCGCGACAACCTCGTCCGTCCCGAAGCCGACGCCGCAGCACGAGGGGACAGACCCCAACTGCAAGAAGTGGACGCAGGCCGGCGACGGCGCTGGGTGCTGGCAGCTCGCCACCGACGCGGGCATCGACCTCGCGCTGTTCTACAGCTGGAACCCCGTGCTGGGCGCTGCGGGCGAGAATTGCGGTACCATGATCTGGCCGACGTACTACTACTGCGTCGGCGTGTCTACCGGCTCGGGAACGACGCCGACGACGACGGTGGCGCCACCGGCGACCACCACGGCTCCGGCCAAGCCTACGAATACGCAGGCTGGCATTCCCGACAATTGCAGCAAATTCGCCCAGGCTGGGGACGGTGCGTCTTGCTGGCAGCTAGCGACGGATAATATCATCGAGATGTCGGTTCTATTTGCGCTGAACCCTGTCCTTGGGCCGGCCGGGGAGAACTGCAGTACGCAGATCTGGCCGACGTATTACTATTGTATTGCAGTCAGTTGATAAGTGCACACTGCACGGATTAAAGTGCGAGGATTCGCCGGAAGATGAATATCTATTCGCTTCTTTGTAATTTGAATTCTACCATGCCGTTACCTCCATCGTAGAGAAACTACACTGGTGCTCTTTCTGTTTGAGCAGAGAACCTCGTTTACGCGTCTGACCAGTCGTACTCGTCGTCCAAGATGGCCGCGCGAGCAGGCACGGCAGCCCTGAGAAACTCATCTTTCCTGAAGGCGTCTGGCCAACCGTACTCATGGTACAACTTCTTCATTGCCTGCAGAATATCAGTACCCGATGACTTTGGATGTCATACGCAGCAGGGTAGAGCTGTGTATTCGCGATCGGGGCTCACCTTGGCATCCGGGTCATTCACTTTTCGAATAGCAGACCCAAAGTTTCCCGCCGCAGGTGCTGGGACCAGCTTCAGATTTGAGATGTCCTTGTTCATCTTGTCGAAGAAGGTCTTAAATGAAACCGCCTTTGCGGCGAGCCATGGCGCGTCTTCTTCGGCCTCATCATCATCATAACGGTAGTAATCGTCGCCCTGAGGATACACACATCCTGCGCTTCTGTTAGCATACTATACAGCAGAAACAAGATATGGAAATAAAGATCCAAATATTCAAAAACCAAACCTTTTTCTGTATCGATGAGCCAAATCACTCCGATGGCTGCTTCGTCATATGTCAAGGATACCATATGCGGCGGCAAGGGCTTGTCAAAAGGCGCTAACCCAAGCATGGCAAACGGCCGTTTATGCCAATTTGGGTCTGGGTCCTTTTCGGGCTGCCACTTGTTCCTGAGGTAGGACAGAACCTTCGTCTCATAGTAGACCACCGCGTCGTCGCCCGCTTCGTCACTACCGGAAGGTCCCGCTCTCGGATACGGAAGATGTCGTAAAAGGTCAATGACCTTGTCGGAGCGTCCCAGGGTCCGCAGCGCGTCGACGTTAAGCTCCTCATCGGTCCATCCCGTCTCGGGTGGCGCCTGAAGAGCTTCCGGGTGCAGATGGCCCATGTCCACGAGCAGGCGGTAGTGGCCCTTCACGAGTGAGACGACGGCATCACGGTCGTAGCCAAAAGCTTGGCGAGGCTCTCTGGCAGGCGTCTTCTTGAGACGAAACATTGTCGCGGAGATTGAAATGAGGACGAATTGACAAATTTGCTGTTCTTGAAGTCTTGAAAGGGGGGGAGGCAGTTCTTAAGATACGCTTACTCCTAGGGGGCAAGAAGGAAGCGGGGTTTATGCAGGCACTCAGGGTGGCCGCTACTAGTTCAAGCACCCCCTGCATGCTTGACTAACAAGGGTGAACGGACTGACAAGGTTCATAATGGAACGGTGGAGAACAGGAAACGACAAGAGGAAAAGACGAAAAAGAAAAAAAGTGCATTTCCTGAGACGGGTTTTTTTGTCGGCATCTGAGTGCGTCTAAAGTGGGAAGAATGATTATAAACGAACGCTCGCACGCTTCTATGTCTCCTCTCTTATTCGCTAGAGCAATACAGTGCTAAACTCCCTAATATACTTCCTTCCACTCACGCTTGTTACAGCCGTGTAAGTATCGAAAACAGTGCCCTTGTTCCGCAACCCGGTTTTCTGCAAAGATGTGTCAGACCTGGACATTGCATATCCGAGTCATGCATTCAACCCATGCTCGATTCCCTATTGCAATAAGGGATATAGGCATTATGGCCTTGAAATCTTGTTCTGTTTCTTGTTTTAAGTTAGACATGTGTCAATAACAACAACAACAACAACAACAACAACAACAACAACAACACCTCACTCGCTTAGTAGAAATAGACCAATATGATTATTGCTGGCTGCCAAGCTGTCGCCTGACAAGATGCCTGGCTGACCCTCTTTACTGTATATTAGCTTCAATTGCTCTGAAACTTCGCTACAATACTATTTGACCCTCAATGGGTCAATACTGTGAAGATGACATCCACCAAGCATTTGAGGCTATTACGAATGGACTAAGCATCCATAAAGCTGCCTCTGCATGGGGTATCCCAAGGACGACACTTCGCCGCCGCATCCAAGGTGCCCAATCAAGGGATATTGCCTTGTCTGATCAGCAGAGACTCTCTCCGGCCCAGGAAAGTCATCTAGCTGAATGGGTTCGAATCCAGGCTGCCCTAGGCCTGCCTCCAACGCATCAATAACTGAAGGATTTTGCTGAACGCATCCTACAGGTCCATGGAGACTCCCAGCCTCTTGGAAAGAACTGGGTGCAGTTTTTTATCAAGAGAAACCCATCTGTAAGGGTCTAAAGAAGCAGAGCAATCGATTCCCAGCGTATGAATAGAGCCTCAACTAATATCATCAGGCAATAGTTCAAGCACCTCGCAATACCTGAACTCATGGCCATCAAGGCCTCTAATCGATATAATACAGATGAAACTGGTATTCTAGAAGGCAGGGGATCAAACGGCCTCGTTCTCAGCCTCTAGAAGAGCATTACGATACATCATAGCTAGTGTCCCTTTAAGGATATAGTCAACTACGTTACTGGCTAATATTAGCGAGCTAGTTATTTGGATAATTTAAGATTGGATCTTTAATCAAAGTTAACTAAATATTTGCCTCTATTAGGTTATTTAGTATCTAAGAAGTCCACGCTAGGGGTGTTACTAGGAGAGACCCTGGGGGCGTTAGAGTATATAACTTCACATCTAGCTTCGAAAGCACACTTTTAGCACTTAACAGAACAAGCCCAGCCCCTCTAAAACCTCCCTAGATGTTTTTTACCGTTAGGGCTTACGTAAAAGCGTTGCAAAATATAGGGAAGAAGTCCTCCTTCGTAATATATATATGTTACGACCCAACATGAAGACCAGGGCGTGCCCCGCTGACGCCTAGCGGCTACGGCGCATCATATATGCAGGACGGGACGGAACATTGGGGAAACCCCAGGAACGGAAGAACTATGGTACAAGTCACGTGATGATAAGAGATATGATAAGGGATAAGGATATGTTGGATATGCGACATATCCAACCGAGTCAAGGATATGTTGGATATTCGACATATCCAACCGAGTCAAGGATATGTTGGATATTCGGCATATCCAACATATCCAGACAAAGTGGACTGTTCAGCACTGTTCAGTTAGGATCGGACTTGTATATAAGGATGGACTCGAGCTGGGCTCTAGGACAGACTTTCCATAGCTTCTTCAGCAATTAACTTCGTATCAGGATTAACATCCGCTTTCAGCTACTACCTTGACAAGACTACGATTGGTCACCGAAGCCTTACCTACCCTTACGATTGACAGACATAGCTTCCCTGAAGCTATCCCCGACTACGATTACTGTTACCAGTTCCGCAGCCTCAACTTCTGCAAACTACCCCTACGACTAGCTGGCCGTAACAATATATTACCCCGGCGCATCTTATCCTTAATTTATCGACCATAAGCCGTCTTTAGTAGCCTAAAACACCCAACGTCTAAGGGCTAAAGTAGATGAGACAAATAGGCCGGCATATAGAGTATAATAATATTGTTTTCCTTACAATATATCTTAAAGTCCGCAGAGTAGTGACTTTTATACCCATTAACAATAAATAGGCAATATCTACTAATTATACGCGGTTTTATATACCGATCAAAGTACTGGAGCCAGTCTAGGCCTCTTTCATTTATTATCCATCCGTTTCCAAACGTTACAATGACCCAGTCGCGTGGGAGACCTGTTTCTATGTACCAGGTAGAGAGGTGTGTTACGACCCGACATGCACGACCAAGTCCAGGGCCTGCCCCGCAGGACCACGGCGACTAGGGCACACCATAAGTGCACGAACTATGGTGATGATGATGATGATGATGTATTTAACGTCTGGTAACAAAAGGACGTGCCGGGCGCAATGCCGACATGGTCTATACTAATCCAAACTATATTATAGGCTACCGTCTTTACCTAACGTTCCTGTTTAATGACTCGGGCAAATTTCGGAAAAGAAATTGGTCTCCTCTATCTATTCGTATAGAAGAGAGGCTCCCTTAGCAGAACCTAATAAGAAATCAATACTTGCTTTAGCTATACGTTGGCGGAGGTAGCGCGGTGTAGCCTTGCGTCCACGCTTGCAGAAGTAGAAATGGACTGGTGTCTTGGGTTTCCTACAGCTGCAGTTGAGCAACGCATCTTGATGAGCGAATCTCTCGTGGTATGCTGTAAAGTCTCCATGATGGGATCTTGCTGCGTATAGCCTTCGTAGTAAGTGCCGAGGGAGGCGGAGTTCGGGCGGCTTGGGATGAAGAATTATCTCGAGGTCGGCATATTGCCGAGGGCATTGGGACAGCCATTTTTTGGCAAAGGCTTGGAAGGCAGCTGCTTTAGCTTGCCTTTCTAGGTGCGCTAATGAGGGCTGTGGTTGTGATTTTGGGATTAGTTTGCAGGCTTCCTTGGCTAGAGCATCCGCTTCTTCATTTCCTGGTACTCCCGTGTGCCCAGGGCACCACCAAACATAAACCCTGCCGGGGGTTGTCCAGCGTTTAAATAGAGAATAGGTAATGCGAGCGAGTGTGAGCCTCGGTGATTATGTAACCAAGGTCACGTGACGGGTAGTGAGGCCACAGATGGTTGAAGCCATCACGACATTTGTCGAAGTGTCTAGCTACACGGCAGATCTTCCGCGGATCCGAACCACTCGGCTCCCAAACTAAGGTGTATGACGCGGAGGCATATGCTGCGTATCACGGCCTGATGGAAGCCACCCGGGCTCCTACGGCTCGTATGGCAGATAACGTCCATATCCGTAAGCAAAAATACCGAATACATCGATCCGTTAGAACTCCCCCTTGGGAACAACTAGCGGACTAGCAGACAGCCCTCGCCAGGGTCGGCTACGAACCTAACAAGACCAAAGAAGAACAGGCCCTCTCCTTTGCAGGCAGGATGGTAACTTTCTCTAAGCGGGACATTATTGTTTATACTGACGGGTCCTAGATATCGGACGGCAGCAGCACCTCCGCCGGAGCAGGCTGGGTAGGGTACCAAGCTATACGGTAGATCTTCTACGGATCCGAACTACTTAGCTCCTAAACTGAGGTGTATAACGCGGAGGTATATGTTGCGTATTATGGCCTGATGGAAGCCACCCGGGCTCCTACGGCTTGTATGGTAGATAACGTCCATATCTACCTCGATAACCTCGCAATCGCGGCTAGACTATACTCCCAGAGCACAGGAAGCAGCCAGGCTAGACTTAGGGCCTTCAATAGGCTCTCTTCCTCCTAGACTCGGAGATAAAGAGAGAGCTAGACAACCCCCGGTAGGGTTTATGTTTGGTAGTGCCCTGGGTATACGGGAGTACTAGGAAATAAAAAAGCGGATGTTCTAGCTAAGGAAGCCTATAAACTAATCCTAAAATCATGACTATAGCCCTCATTAGCGCACCTAGAAAGGTAAGCTAAAGTAGCTACCTTCTAAGCCTTTGCTAGAAAATAGCTGTCCTAATGCCCTTGGTAATATGCCGACCTCGAGATAATTCTTCATCCCAAGCCGCCCGAACTCCGCCTCCCTCGGCACTTACTACGAAGGCTATACGTAGTAAGATCCTATCATAGAGACTTTGTAGTATACTACGAGAGATTCGCTTATTAAGATGCGTTACTTAACTGCAGCTATGGGAAACCTAAGACACTAGTCTATTTCTACTTCTATAAGCGTAGACGCAAGGCTATACCGCACTACCTCTACTAACGTATGGCCAAAGCAAGTATTGATTTCTTATTAGGTTCTGCTAAGGGAGCCTCTCTTCTATACGAATAGATAGAGGAGACCAATTTCTTTTCCGAAATTTGCCCGAGTTATTAAATAAGAACGTTAGGTAAAGACGGTAGCCTGTAACATAGTTTAGATTAGCATAGACCATGTCGGCATAGCGCCCGGCACGTCCTTTTGTTACCAGACGTTAAATACATCATCATCATCATCATCAACAAGGGTCTAGCTGCGAATTTCCGTCCATATCGAGGTCATTTCTCCGTTGAAGTCTGTGGACTCCTAGACCGAAGCTTTTCAGAACCCTGGAGGCTAATATTCGACTGCACAAGGGGCTGTGCTACCGACAAAAGGCGTGGAAGGAGACGTCATATCCCGCCAGCAAGCTGCAGCAACTGCGACCTTACCTTAGCTACAATGACCCCAAAGGAAACGGAAATATAAGTTTCATTCGCGTTCCTTTTGCCTCCCTCTGTATCTTTTCCAATTTGCATCATAATGCCAATCAGGTCGATTTTGTTCATTATCGAATTAGCTTACTGTCAGGCCCATCCCAGTACACTCGTTACAACGATTGTCACACTATGCCTATGAAACAATATGGTCTTACACAAGCATGACTAAGTTTGCCAAGGATATGCCAGTATAAAGGGTCTTCCACTCACTATAACGTTAACGTGGTTGATAAGCGAGTGGATCAGACAAGCGAGTGGATCAGCCGACCGCGACCAACATATCTTCCACCCTTCATAGGCGTTACGCCACAACCAAGCATGTCATCACAAAGTAATGAAGGCCAGCTAACCTTAGCGGTTCAGGCTATCAAAACGACACCAAATCTTAGTATCCGAGCGGCATCCCGGATCTACTCAGTACCCTTCTCAACCTTACGCCATCGTCTAAGGGGAAAGTTATCACGACGCGACACTATACCTAGATCGCGGAATTTGACTACGCTTAAAGAAGAGAAGCTAATTAAGTATATTCTCGACCTAGATTCCCGATCATTCCCTCCCCGCATTAGAGGTGTGGAAGAAATAGCTAATCGACTGCTCGCCGACCGCAACGCGCCCCCAGTTAGGAAGCGCTAGGCTTCGAACTTCGTCAAGCGACAACCACAGCTCCAGACGCGCTTTTTTCGCAAGTACGACTACAAGAGGGCCCAATGCGAAGATCCAAACGCCATAAACGCATAGTTTCGCCTTATGGCGAACACAATCGCGAAATATGGTATTGTAGACTCTGATATCTATAACTTTGATGAGACTGGGTTTATGATGGGCCAGATTGCATCTGGGATGGTCGTCACGAGCGCCGAAAGGCGTTCAAACACGAAAATGATGCAGCCTGGTGACCGTGAATAGGTTACAGTCATTCAGGCCATTAGTTCGTCGGGCTACAGCGTCCCGCCGTATATCATCGTTGCAGGCCAATATCACCTCTCCACCTGGTACACGGAAACCAATCTCTCACGCGACTGGGTCATTGCAACGTCTGACAACGGATGGACAACAAACGAAAGAGGCCTAGATTGGCTCCAGCACTTTGATCGGCATACAAAACTGCGTGCAACTGGCAGTTATCGCCTCCTCGTCGTCGATGGGCATGAAAGTCACCACGCTGCCGACTTCGAGATATATTGCAAGGAAAACAATATCGTCACACTCTGTATGCCGGCCCATTCGTCTCATCTGCTTCAGCCCTTAGACGTTGGGTGCTTTGGGCCACTAAAGACGGCTTATGGTCGACAAATTGAGGATAAGATGCGCCGGGGTAATACGCATATTACAAAGGAAGACTTCTTCCCTGCGTTTCGCGAGGCTTTTGCCCAAGCTATTACGGAAAAGAACATTCAGGGAGGTTTCAGAGGGGCTGGGCTTGTCCCTTTGAGTGCCGAAAGTGTGCTTTCAAAGCTTGATATCAGGTTACACACTCCAACACCTCCAGGATCCCTCCCAACAACACCCCCTGCGTGGACTTCTCAGACGCCAAACAACCCAACAGAAGCATCTTCTCAGTCTGAACTCATCAAAAGGAGGATCTCCCGCCATCAGAATAGCTCACCAACTTCAATTATTGAAGCTGTTGAGCATCTATCAAAGGGGGCGCGTGGATTTATGCACCAGATTGCGTTATTAAGGTCTGAGAACAAAATCCTTCGTGAGGAAAACAACCTACTAAGCCGGCGCCGGAGGGCTAAGAAAACACGTCTCAGACAAGGAGGAAGTCTTACTATAGCTGAGGCTGAGGACCTTCAGTCGCAGAGAGAAGCAACAGCTCAGATCGAGGAGGAAACACGCCGGAGTAGTGGTCGCCGACCGAGGACCGAGACGGGCCAACGGCGATGTGGCGTCTGTGGGAACACTGGTCATAATGCACGAACATGTCAATTTGCTGAAGAAATGTCTGAAGAAGAGGATCTTAAATAGTTTTAATTGAATTACTTTTCTTAGTGCTGCGTATCGGTCGCAAATGTGCTGTGGTCGCGGTCGGCTGATCCACTCGCTTGTCTGATCCACTCGCTTATCAACCACGTTACTAGCAATTTATTAAGAACTTTATATGATCTGGCTGCAAACTTTAGGACCTTATAAGAAAAGATTAACTATTTAAATAGACAAACAAATACTAGAAAGACTTTAAGAGAATTAAATAATACATAGAAGAAGATATCGTCCTATATATTCCTGACCTAGATAAGCCTTTTAAGCTTGAGGCTAACGCCTTAGACTTTACTATAGGCACTCAGCTTAGACAACAAGATAATAATAGGAAACTATAGTTAACTAGTTACCTTTATATTAAAAAAGTTTAGTAGACTAAAGTTTAACTACTAGATCTATAATAAGGAACTTATAGTAATTATTAAAGCTTTTAGAAAATAGAGACCCTAGCTATTAGGAATAAAACACACTATTAAGGTGTATATAGATTATAAGAACCTCTGTCACGGCCCTGCGTGGGCATACCCTGTTCCGCTCCGCAGGGTCTAGCCAAGAGAGGCTAGACCTGGATTACATAAGCCGCTGGCTATGAAAACCTTGCTTCCTGTTCGGATTTCTAAATTGTAGCTCTTCGAGCTACGTCTTGTCAACAGAGCCTGTGCCTACTATGGATAGAGCCTGAACTGTAGCTTAGAACCTGAATATACGACTGCCTGCACAGCGTCCACCTCCTGACTGCCTGCTACCGTGACAACCTCTCACACTTTATGACTTTGAAGGTCCTAAATAAGTAATAAGTAAGATAACTAGTGTTACGACCCAACATGCACGACCAAGAACAGGGCCTGCCCCGCAGGCTTACGACGGTTACGATACGCCATACATGCACAGGACAAGGGGACACAAGGCACCCTCTCACGGAACGGAAGAACTATGGTACAAGTCACGATGATAAGATAAGGATCATTTGGGATCAATATGATCCAACACGACTTGGGGGCTAAACGATCATTCTGGATCAGAATGACCCAAGACGACCCAAGGGACAAGGGACATGTTCAGGATCAGGACTTGTATATAAGGATGGACTTGAGCTGGACTCTAGGACAGACTTCCATAGCTCTTCAGCAATTAACTTCGTATCAGGATTAACATCCGCTTTCAGCTACTACCTTGACAAGACTACGATTGATCACCGAAGCCTTACCTACCCTTACGATTGACAGACATAGCTTCCCTGAAGCTATCCCCGACTACGATTACTGTTACCAGTTCCGCAGCCTCAACTTCTGCAAACTACCCCTACGACTAGCTGGCCGTAACATCAAGGGCCTGATCTTGTCGGTGTCATGGTCTCAAGACCAGATTAGAGAACTTCAGCCACTTCATAACCTACGTCTTGGCTGCTAAAAAGCCTTCGTCATACCGCCGCTTTTGATCTATTGATTTAACGGTTGTTCCCCTTCGTCTCTCTTAACATCTTAATCTAGTCCTTAGACCACCCTTTCGCCAGTGTCAGAAAAGACAGTAGAAAACCAGCTTATAACCAACGTTATTCCCCTTCTGGCCCGTTTCCGCTACTGTCTCAGAAAGGAACATTGCCAAGGCCCGCGGATTGGGTTAGAAACCCATACAAATGACGGAAAGCGGCCATTCTGATTCTTTTTTGGGCTAGCGTTCGTAATCACACCATTAAACTTAATTTGTTAAGATCAAGAGAATCAATTCATTTTTGGCGACTACGTCGCCATGCATGCTGGCTTCGATTTCTCTTTGCCTTCTGTGATCAGTTGATACTGTAAAGTGGAATGTAAATTAGTCTCGATCTAAGTAAACTTATAGAAAAATCCCAACCAACATGGCACACACGATGGCAATAAGAAGAGACCGTAATTGGTCGGTGCATGGAGGACGCACCCCGATCCTCTGCTCATTCGATTAAAGAAACAACATGCGGTTCTCTGCAAACGTTTAACCATGCACCTTCCATTGTTACTCCGCTCATCTTTAACAAGTCTGCTCGTATTTCATGTCTCCCAGCTTGAAGCCACCAGGCTGGTACGTCTGGAAGAAGCCACATGGATCTACACCGAGAATGTCAGCCAACACTGCATGTTACGAGACGAGTGCGAAAGAATAAAGAAGAAGAAAAAAAGGGGAACGACACATACCGTACTTCTGGGCAACCTCACGAAGCTTTCCCAGCGACTTGCCGCCACCCAGGGACTGGAACACCGGTTGGCCTGGGCCTGCGTCGTTGATGTAGATGAAGGGATGATCGAGGCCTTTGGCCGCGGCCTTGGCCAGGATCTCCTTCGTGACGGAGTCCGAGAACTCCTTGTGCGTCTCGTCCATAGCCGGGTCTGTCCATGTGGTCGATATAAGCACGTTAATGATGCCACCCTGCGTCGGGTCCAGGTCGATGGCGTCACCGCCCGCCTCCTGCGCCGCCTCCAGCCACGCTTTGCTGATGGTCTGGTAGGTTACGCTGGTGAGCACGTTCGGGAGGTGCGACAAGTCGGCCGTAGCGCGCTCGATGAATGTCGAATTGACCAGGAAAACCGCCTCGGGAACTGCCTTTACGGCCAGGCTCCAGAACAGGCGACGGGAGCCGCGGTCCGCGTAATCGGGGCCGCTAACGTCGGCCAGATAATCCCCGAGGCTTAGCCACGAGCGAGTCGTAGTAGACATGGTGGGTAGTGCGGTGAAGTTGGCCAAGCTTGCCGGCTCGTCGGCCCCTTGGTAGAAGAGATTCGCGCCGAGAACCATTGCGCTGGCGTTTGGGAGGAAGAGCATCAGGGGGTTTGCGTGCACCAACGGGTCGGCAGAACCGCCCTCGGGCGCGGCAAAGGACGCGACGGCGTTGATGTATTGGTCGATGACGGCTTGGGGCGCCTGGATGGTGCCGCCCCAGACGGCGCCGACGGGGAAGGTCTTCATATCGAAGCGGGTGACGATGCCGAAGTTGCTCTGGCCGCCCTTGAGGGCCCACCACAGGTCGGAGTTCTTCTGCGCGCTGGCCTCGACGATGGAGCCGTCTGCGAGGACGACCTGGAATGCCACGACGCTGTTGACAGACCAGCCGGTACGCGAGCCGAAGTAGCTGATGCCACCACCAGTCAGCAGACCACCGACGCCGACGGGGCCGAAACGGCCGCCGGGGACGGCGAAGCCTTGCGCAGAGCTCCACCCGTAGACTTCCTGCCAGCGCAGGCCCGGCCCAATGGAGGCTACGGATCCGTCCTCGGACAGTGACTTGGCATTCAGACGCTCAGTAGAGATGAGGACTCCTGGGTTGTCGATGTTGTTGGCTCCGGGGACGGGCATGTGCCCGCCGCTGCGAACGGCGAACTGAGTCTTTGTAGTTCGCAGCACCTTGACCGCGCGCGCGACGTCCTCGGCGCTCTCTGGTTCAAAGACGCAGTTGGGCTTCAAGACGCACGTCTGAGACCAGTTCACTGTCGCATCCGTGTCAGCCACTCATACTTGACGTGTGCCGTTTGGGGGTGCGTCGTGTGCACTTACAAATGGACTTGTTTGAATACTCTGGCGAGTCTTGGAAGGTGAGCTTGGGGAAGGTCTCCGCAAGCTGCGCGCATGCATCCAGGACCGCGTCCCGACCTTGTGGTAAGGTGAGACCCCGGGGCAAAGATGCCAAGAGGAACAGAACAATTGATAGATGCTTCATGTTGGTATCCAAATCGCGAAGAACACTGAGGATGTGCTTGGACAGGTAGGCGAAAGCAAGCTTGTTCTGGCAGCCTCCTCTACATCGTCTGACGTCTCGACCTGCCTTTAAGAATCTGGTGACAGTAAGTCTAAGAGACAAGGCTCGCCTTGAAAACCTCTTGTGGAGAATGTTCGAATGAGGCGGGAGCCGAGATCACAATGCTGCGCCCCGAAGGAGTCAGCCCTGGGTTGTGGAGCATCCAATGATCTCAAGGTAGCAGCCAGCCATGTTCGTACTAAGATGGGAACGGTTGGGGCCGAGAAACAATCGTGTGAGAATGCCTGCCGTAAGCCAGAGGCCAGCCCAATATCTCGCGGGTATCATTTCGGTGCTTGCCCGATTAGTTTCTTAAAAGCCCCAGAGCTCACGGCTGCTTGGGCCCCGGCATAGAGTGCATTGCAAGCATAATTCAGCCCCGGGATTGGAGAGCATCTCAGCATCCCGATAGTCAGCATAAGAAGGAAAGTAGTCTTTCTCTGATGCGTCTCCATGGAACGAAGTAGACCAAAGACACCTTCTACGTAAACTTCAATCTTCGCAATGACGGTTTCTGTGCACTTGCCCGCCTTCTGGCCATCATTTGGCTGGGTTGAGACCCTTACCAGCCTCAGCTTGGGTGTAAGTCACTTAATTTCTATGGCTCACTGTTAGCCTCGGCTATCCATTCGTTCCCTTTTATCAGAGCACCTTGCTGATTATTGCCATTTCCTGATAGTGTGCATTTCTGGGAGCCCTCGTGATTTGGAGACGCCTCTGCCTTGACCCCTTAGCCCATTTCCCCGGTCCACTGAGCGCCCGCTTCAGCAATGTGAGTTAACCCTACCAATCAGCCATCCTCCTCGGCCTGTTTGGACTGACCCAAACAAAGTTCAACTATTCCAAGAGTTACCTGGGCGGTCGCCAGCCTTACGACGTGCTCAAGCTCCACGAGAAGTACGGTAAGGAACGCATTGTTTTCCCAGCAACAGGTACCGGTTCCAGTTTCTCTGACACCACATGATAGGGCCGGTGGTTAGAGTTGCGCCGAACGAGCTGTCGTTTGATACTTCACAGTCGTGGAAAGATATCTATGCGCAGCGCAAGGGCCATGGAACCTTCATCAAGAGCGCCTTCTACGACGGAGGCAACTTCGCCGACCAGGCTCACTCCATCGTCAGCGAGAGGAACCCTGAAAAGCATGGCGAGATGCGCAAGTTCATCTCAAACGCCTTCTCTGACAGATCCCTAAGGGAGCAGGAAGGTTTGGTAACAGGTGTCGTCGACCAATTTATCGACCAGATCGGCAGACTCGGCGTGGTGCCCCACAGCGTGGACATGTCGCTTTGGACGCATCTTCTGACTTTTGACATCATCGGCGAGCTAGGTGATGACCTTCTACCAAGACATCCCAGTGGCAACACACTGACGCGTCTACTTCTCGACAGCTTTCGGTCAAACTTTCGGCGGCGTCGAGTCCGGCGAGCAGCATGCTTGGGTCGTGGCCGTGGTCGAGAGCATGGCCCAGGCGAGCCTGTCAGACACCTTGCAACGCTTCCCAATCTTGGGCCGCGTGTACCTGGCAATGTATCCGAACTGGCTTAAGAAGCTTCTGGTGGGTGCTGAGAAGCATCAGGAGTTCGTCATCAGTCTGGTCAAAAAGTGCGCCCACAGGACACCCCCCTCCCTTTTTGTTTTTTTCATGGCTAATTCCACAACCAATTGTGAAGGAGAATGGCGGCCGTGACCGACAGAAAGGACTTCATGAGCCACCTCCTGGGTCAAAGGGAGGCTGCGGGCATCTCGGACATTCAGCTGTCTGCCCACGCGTCAGACTTTGTGTAAGTCCCACAGCTCGCAGGAATGCTTCTTCGCGCTACCTCGGCGAGACATGTAGTATTCTGCAAGGCCGTTTATGCTGAAAGGTTTGGAAAATAGCATCGCGGGTAGCGAGACGACCGCCACGACGCTAGCGACCGCAATCTATTACCTATGCCGTCATCCAGAGATACTCCAGCGCCTGCAGCTCGAGATCCGCGGAGCGTTCAACGACTACTCGAAAATAGACGGACGGTCTACCTCGGGACTGAAATACTTGACGGCAGTATGCCTTGAGGCGCTGCGAATTCTGCCACCGCTTTCGCTGGCCTTGCCCCGTGTGGTTCCTCCGGGCGGAGATCTAGTAGACGGGCACTTCATCCCGGCTAGTGTGAGTAGCGGCATTGGATGTCCCGCTGATCGAGGCAATAGTGAAGGATTTGCTGATGTATCCCGTAGACAATCGTCGCGACCGCCCCGTTGGCTGCTAGCATGAACCCCAAGAGCTTCAACGACCCATGGAAGTTCGACCCCGAACGGTGGCTCGCGATGTCACCGGCCGACCAGCTGGAGGCTACCCAGCCTTTTTCTCTTGGAACGAGATCGTGCCTTGGGAAAGGGTGAGATGAGGCCCTCGCTGTTCTTTATATGCACGCCAGCTGATTATTTGCAATACACAGACTCGCCTGGCTGGAGATGCGCCTGACACTCTCCAAGATGCTGTTCAAATACGATTTGAGACTCGTAAACAACGATGTGGACTGGCACCGCGATATGCAGATGCAGTTGCTGTGGAACAAACCCCGGTTGATGGTGCAGTTTGCCGCTGTTTGATGAGGAAAGGTCCGTCAGGTCCGTCCTGCAGTCAACAGATTGGACTTAGGCTTGTTGAAGCCAGACCCACAGCATTGTACTGTATTGTTAGACTAGATATTCGAGGGGAAGTCAAGCATCAAAAACCTGGACCATTTGATTAATCATTGATGACGTTCACGAATGATTGTGAACAAGTTGGTCGGACTGCATGGCAACACGGTCTCCACCCGCCCTCTCGTCCTCTTCCTTCTTTGAGAAAGCATCACCCTTGAACTGTCAACTCCGTGACCATCTATCAGTTCCTTCAGTTTTCAGCCTGCTGACCTAATATTCATGGTTCGTGAACTACGTCCCGCGACCTCTGGTTGATGATTCATGTCTCGCCGAGTGCTGCAAAGCTCCTGCGCAATGCCTGGGATATTCCACATTAGGAAATGCCGAGGGTCGGTCTCCCCGGCATGAACTGGCGATGTAGATAGCATCAGCCACGATTACATGTTTCGGTCAAATTCCACATCGTCAAGTGAAATGCAAAGTCTTTGCACCTCTCATGTTGTATTGTCTCTCCTCCTGATACCCTACAGCATACTTACACTTGACCATTCCCCTAGCAGCGGCAGCCCACCATGACGAGCCTTCACCTTTCTGAGGACTCCCTCCCCTCCCTCCACGGCAAAACCGCAGTCATCACCGGGGGCGCTTCCGGCATCGGCCTCGCGGCGGCCCATATCCTCGCTCGAAAGGGCTGTTCCGTCCACGTTCTCGACCTCAACCCCATCCACCAATCGGACTTGGACGCAGAGCCCTCCCTGGTCGATCTCATCGCGTCGGGAACTATCCGTTACGTTCACTGCGATGTAACCTCTTGGATCGACCTGCGCGCCGCGTTTGACTCTATCAGCCGCGTCGATATCGCCGTTGCCAATGCCGGCGTCTCAGAGGAATGTGATTACTTCCAGGACGTCCTTAACGCCGACGGCGAGCTTACCGAGCCTCGGTACGGCGTGCTCGATGTCAACCTCCGCGCCGTGCTCAATTTCACCAAGCTCGCGCTCCGAGCTTTCAAAGCTCAGGGACCCGGTGGAAGCCTAGTTATCACCACGAGCGCGACGGCGTACTCGCCCGAGCAGAGCCTGCCCGTTTACAGCAGTACGAAGCTCGCAGTAAGCCCACCCTCATTTTTCGGATTTCCCCATGTTTTTCTAGTGTTTACCCATCTCACTTGTACGCCCCTTTTGTTAACCCGCTCTACAGCTGGTCGGCCTCATCCGCGCCCTTCGGCCTTCAATCCATCTCTACGGCGCGACCATCAACGGTGTCGCCCCGGCGGCGACCATCACCCGCCTCTTGCCCGGGAACCTTGCAGCGCCAATCATGGCCGCTGGTGCCCCCGTCAGCACCGCGCGCCACGTTGGTCTCGCCGTTGCGTACTCGGCCACGGCGTCCCAGGCTCGCCAGGTCGAAGGCTACGGCCGCGACAGCCCTGCGCAGATCCAGAGCCCGGGCCGTTGGAACGGGCGTGTCATCATCACCCTCGGCGACGCGTGGACTGAGATTGAGGAGCCGATGGCGCGTCTGCGCTGGGCATGGTTTGGCGAAGAGAACACGCGGCTCACGGCGTTCCAGCAGGTGTTGACGGACATGCGACCTGATTCCCAGAGTATGCCTGACAAGATGGAGAATGGGAAAGGAGCGACCGCCAACGAGTCGGGTTGAGCGGATGGGCGCCGTAGGATTTGGCTGGCTGGGATTGATTGACAACCGGATTTGGTAAGGGAGGGATTCAATGCTTGCTCATGTATTTATCGATCCAACAGTGAAGTGGGATTCATTCAATCTAGGTAGTTCTTAACGACGTGAATACATGTGGTGTGTTTTTGAGATGAAAGAAATATTATGTCATTCCTTAAACCTTCTTCGGCAAAGCTTGCAAGCCCGAGTTTCCTATAAGTGTATTATCCTTCCAAGTATCGTTAGCAAGACCCAAGCCCTATTCACATGAAAGAAAGGAGGACTTCTTACCAACATGCTGGACGGCATCACCTTGGTCATAACGCTGATCATACCCGCCATCTGCCCTCTCCAGAGCCTCCCGCTCGCGCCGTCAAGTACATCGTCGACAACCTTCTTGGCAAACTCATCCGCGGGGGTGCGCTTAATGCCGTCATTGCCACTCGTCAGTTTCGCCATGGCCTCCTCTACGGCCTTCACCTTGTACGGTGAGGCTTTCGACAACTCAACTTTGGAGGCGGCCGTCATGATGTTGGTGTCGACGGCGCCTGTGACGAGCGAGATGACGCGCACGCCCAGCGGGCGCAGCTCAAGTCTCATAGTCTCGCTCAGCATCTCGGCGGCCGCCTTGCTGGCTTGGTAAACGCCCATCCACGGCGTGTGTAGGTGGCCAGAGATGGAGCATAGGTTGACGACGCAGCCGGTGGCGGCGATGAGCAGGGGCGCAAAGGCCTGCGTCACGCGCAGAACGCCGAAGAAATTGACGTCAAAGAGGGCCTGGGCCTCGGCGAGGCCAGTCTCGAGGACAGGGGCGACGTGCTGCGCGCCCGAGTTGTTGATGAGGTAGTTGAGCTTGCCGCCGGTGAGGGAGCGGACCTTTGCGGCGGCGGCGTCAATGGTCGACTGGTCGGTGACATCAATTTGGAGGAGAGTCACGTTGGGGAGGCTGGCGAGGTGGTCCATCTTGGAGGGCGTACGAGCCGTTGCGAAAACGCGTAGGCCGCGGCGCTGGAACTCGAGGGCCAGCTCGGAGCCGATGCCGCCGGCACTGCACCCGGTGATGAGCACGGACTGGATGGGGACGGGGGCCATGTTGTGTCGTCTTCTTAGATACGGTTGGCACTAGGTAGGCAGAGTTGGTGGTGCATTTGTTGGCAGGTAGTGAGTTCAAGGGACTTTAGCTACCTACCTAGATTTATTCTTAAAGGGAAATTGCAGCAGCAAGTCTAGGTAGTCGGCCACATCAGTCGCTCCATTCCGACAAGACCCATGATACATCAGGGCAGCTGGTGTAGGCAGTTACTCCGTGCTGTGCCTCGCCCAAGCAGCAGCCAATGCATGCATGCGGCACCCAGCCTCAGGCCCCGGGGCCTCTCGGCTTTGCTCCTCTCCTTTCGGGTCGTTAGTCTTCCCGAGCCCCACACGCCTTAGCGCTCACGGGCCGCCTCCCAATCAGGCAGGGCCGGAGCGGGTAGTAGATGCATGATCCAATATTACCTACCCTAGATCAGGCACAGGCACCAACTGATTACGTTGGTGATGACGGGTTCCATACCAACTCTGAGCAACTAACTAGTACAATTGACAAACCCCGCAGTGAGGCTTTTTGAACTAAGTAGCAAAAATAAAACAGTCATGTCCGATCCTCCCGCAGGGGTCATACAATAAGGGAATTGATATACCGGCGTCGCAAATTGATACACCGGCGTCGACCTTACACCGGCGTCGCTGTTCGACCTTTTGATTGGCTCAAAAAAACAATACCTCCCCATAAAGGCGGTGAGGGTGACTGCACTAACATGGCTATTCCTGCCCTCTTCTCTAACCTAAGCTCTAATTTGAGATTTCTAAAAGTACGTATTACAGCCTACTTATACCCTAGGTTTGTAAATCTCAAATAGGGACTATATAACCCCTCAAAAGGCCTATTACGTAACTACCTTTTACGACGTGGTTGCAAAGATTCATCGTCACTACAGACCATTTCCCACTAACTCCGTTTCCTCCGAACACTAGGCTACATCGGCCGTCCACTTGCATAATTCCCTGTTGTCCTCCCCTTCCAAGAACACTAGACTGGCTCCTTGTTTGTCGCTAGGATGAGCTTGATATCTGGCTTTGACTTGGCTAACTTGTCTCTTGTGTAAGCCCAGCTAGCGTCGACTTATTCTTGCTCCCAGGTGGGCGGCCTCGCTTCTTACTACTTACGCCTTGGCTGCTATAGGTAGTGCGGGCTTGTCTGGCTGACTGGCCCTCTGCAGGTAAGGCTAGTTATGATAGGACAGGCTGCACTATGTTCTTTAGCCTACCGCGGAGGGATGCAGCAATCTTAGGGTCAAGGATCCGGCGGTATGGATCTGAGGAAGACGTCTCTCGAAGACGCCACCGAGGGTATACCTCCCATTTACTGAAAGTAGCTAAATCTAACTTTTAGGAGTAGATCTTATGGCAGCATGGGATACCCAGCTCAATTAAAACAGTGCAGTCTAGACCACAGTCTCCAAGGGGGGCTAGGAATGGCCTCGTGCCAGACGGCATTGCCTTCTTTACCAGCCGGTATTGCTTCCCAATCAATGCAAGACACTTCGAGGAAAGCATCGTTCGAAGTTCGCCTAGGTACTCAAAGCGAGTACCTATATACTCCCGGCCTGTAAGCACTTCATCCTCAGCACAAGCTTGCCTGAAGCGTATCTCCTGGTCACCAATCATGTCCTACATAACATCAACAAGTCGATATAGGTGACTAAGATCATTTAAGAGATAACTCTTAATGTTGTTATTACTTGACTCAGTGCCAGAGGTGACGCGAACACCAAAGTTCTAATATTTTCGGATAGAGCAGCGGGCCCACTGTGCTCTTAAAGGTAGGTATGTTATGTGGAGGTACTGGAGGATTGGGCGTTGGTCGTTAAACTCTTTACAGAGCTTGGTCCAGGCTTTCTCAAAAGCGTGCTCAGTCTCAGCAAAAACAACAAGCTTCCACATCATAAGGACCCCACGATACGTATGAGGGGGGGGCTTATCAATAGATGTGTTGATATAGGCCTCATCCTCATCACTTAGCGTGGCCATTGCTTGTATTGGTAGCTGATATCCCTCGTCATTAGACCCACTGCTGTTACTGCTACAGCTGCGGTCCTTAACCCACTTCTGCTTAGCCCTGAGCATAACGTTAGAATTGATGTGGTGGATGCAGAGTTGTTGCTGAACGTCTGGGAACTGCTCATTCAGTGCAGCCTTCATCTGCTTGTCGTAGTCTGTAATAATAGTGGGGTAACGGACTGAGTGTTGGTCCATGAGTTGGCGGATCCCTGCTGAGAGAAACTGGAAACCCTCTAGTCTCTCGTTGTCGATAAGGCCAAACGCAGCGTTGTAAACAGATCCAAGGCAGGTTTGCCCAGTAGCTTGGAAGAGAGGGAGCTTAAAGCGATTGGTATTGTAGGTGTTGTCAAAGCTAATCACAGGGAATCACTTCCACATTTGGAGACAGTGGGGAAAGGTCCAGACAAGGCCAATAAGGCGGTTTGGCTCGGCGTCTGCCCATTTCACCACGTATAGGATATCTCGCTCATCAAACAGCTTGATTAATACTGCAGTTAGCGAATATCCCGCTAGTTTCTCTCGGTTTATACGAGCCCTAGCGTTATAGATATCTCGCTGGGTAAATAAGGACTCTGGGAACTGCTCCTGGACAACAGCACGCACATCGCGAGCCCGAATCCCAAATCGTCGGCTTGTAGTTTCAATGGCATCCTGAAGTGGATGGGTAAGCCTGCGATGTGAAGGGTGTGCAGTAGCTTCAAGGCTAGGGCCATGATTATACTAACTATACTAGGGGTCTAGGTGATAACGTAAAAGCCACTTACCCTCCTCTTAAGCCTCGGCAATAACTTACCATTTACAACCGCATTTACGAGACTTGCGCTGTCGAATACCAGCACCTTGTGTAGGCCCAGGCTCGCCAAACCGATCACACTGGAAGGTGTATCGAATGATTCGGCCTCGAGCTTTATGCCTATTCCGCTTTATAATGCCAAATCCATTAGCTCTTGCAAAGGTATTAACTCGGTCGAAGAGGGCATCATAGGTTTGCTCTGGATCGCCAGGAATCGGTGGGTTTGGGATTTCGGTTATAGGAGGAGAGGAGGATCGGTTGCTTAGAGTGTGGTAGGAGGCTGCAGTTCGGAAAGACGCTTCGCTTTGAGGGGAGGATTGCCGTGGGGGTGAATAGGGTGGTGGGTTGACTTGGGGACCCCATGTTTCTTGCCATTGACGGACATACTCTTGTTGTCGGAGGAGTGCCGTTGTTAGCTGTTGATTAGTCCCAACAACCTGTAGAACAAGCTGAAGAGCACTATTGAACTACTCTGTTGTAGGATAGGAAGGTTGCTGGGACTGTTCGTTGGGAGGAGAGGGGCTATGCTCTGGAGAAAGTCGTGGGAGAGTAATCCGCTGGGTTTTTATTGTTCCTTTAGGGAAATGACGAGTAAGATATAGCGTAGGCTCCATACTAGGGTAATCGTATACAAGAGGTCGCGTGTCTTGTAGTATGTCGGCTAGGAGCTCGGTAATAAGGTCGCGCTGCCCTTAAGGATCACCAACTCCATAGAATTGGCTAACGCTAGGGCCGCTGCTTTCTGAAGAGGGAGATGATGGTGGGAGGCCGTACTCAAACAATGGTCGCTCTCGTATAGGGGGAGGTTTATTAGTAGGGGGATTGCTTTGAGATTGGCCTTGTGGAACATCTCTAACTCCAGTTAGAGAAGCCATTGTAAGCAAATAGCATAAGTCAGACTTAGAGGCTTGATGATGTAACCTTAGAGGAAAGGGAGCAAAGGAACAAAAACGGTTAAGATACTTTGTGGGTATCTGGCAGAATTTGATTGCACTAACAATATTTTTTTGAGCCAATCAAAAGGTCGAACAGCGACGCCGGTGTAAGGTCGACGCCGGTGTATCAATTTGCGACGCCGGTATATCAATTCCCTACAATAAATAACACTGACTGCAGGCTGTCGGGTGCAGCGAGCTGCTCAGATTCCCCCGCCATCAGAATTACATGTCCCTTAGCGATGATTTACTACCGTGTTGCCTTCCCCTCTGCTGTCTGTGCTGTGAGAGAACCTGAAGTTGGTACGTTACTTTGACCAGAGGAAACCCCTGAATCAACCGTTGTCAGTTGAAAACAATGGATGCGTTGCAGGTTTCAACTCATATGGGCCCACGAGCAGACAGCTCGTCAAGAATGCATAGTGAAAATCAATCATTTGATACCTTACGATTGACTATTGATTGTTTGCCGACGCAGATTTCCGACGAACCATGTTAAGCCACCTGACGCTTCCCGATACATAAACACCGACAAAAAAGTCTCCGGAATCTTGAGCCATGCCCTGCCGCAATGCACGGTTCATCTGCATTTTAGTTCGGCTCCGTGTATCTCTTCGTCGTCCGGCTCCAGTGCTCATTTCCGCTCATTTGGTGCTCCAGTCCCTTCACGTACCTGCGCATGTCTTGCGATACAGCCGGGGAAGAAGTTGCCACGAGCTTGTCGCGCATGGCGTCATGCACCTTCTCCCACTCGCGGATCATGGACCACAGTACACGCTTGGTGGCATGAAAGCTCAGGTTTGTCTCGTCGGCCACGACCTTGACAGCTGAGCAAATGACGGCACCCTCCTCATGCAGCACCTTGGACGCCTGGAGCTCCTTCTCCCAGCTGTAGATATCGTTAACAACGGAGATCTGCTTGGAGCAGTTCTGTTCCAACAGGCGCATGCTGGAGAGCTCCTCCTTGGACAACTGGAGGCCCAAGGTGAAGCGCATCAGGGCCGAAAGGAGGCTATCGCTGGTTAGCCTTTCTGAAGCGACGGGTAGGTTTCATTCAGTTTGTGGAGAAAAGACTCACGCTTTGCCGACGTCGCGCTCACGGTACTCGAGATATTCCCCAAGACTCTTGATCGAGGTGCGAACTCGATCGGTCTGGGACCTCATGAAGGTGAATGTGGACTCCAAAACCTCATCGGCAAGCTTTCTGTCACAGGCGCGCATGCTTTCCCACAGATCATAGAAGATGTACTCGACAGGAATCGACCCTTTGCAGCAGTCAGTAGGAGCAGAACGGAGTTTTGGCCTTCTGCCTGAGTCCATGGGATAGGTGGCTACTGACTGTCGGGCAGGGCGTCTCCCCGGGCAATGGGGATTAGTCTCTCGTTGTAGGCTTCTCCATCCGCAAACGACATGTGCTCCAGCAAATCTATCCCATGTCAGATGCCAGTACATGCCGTGAACCTGAGGCTTCACGCGGCCAAGAAGGAACCCACCGTCAATGAGGAACAGAACCGTCAAAAGGCGGCACGCAAAGTGAAGGCGGTCGTCCTTGGACAGGGGGAAGTACAACGAGGTAACACGCGAGAACCCGGCATTGAGGAATGTCTTCCTCGACTTTTCGTTGGGGAAGGGCCAGTGCTCGAGAAAGTAGCCGTCGACCTCACGCGCCACCTCGTCGGCAAGGGGGTGAATCAGTGCGCGCCATCCCGACGGCGGCACCCTCCACTTCGGTACCTGAGTCTTCAACACGGGCTCACTGACGCCGTTTTGAATTCCGTAGGACGGTTCAGTTAGAGCAGAGACAGGGACGTGGGTCGTCTCTCTGACTTCTTCGCTGTTGATCGTCATTGCGGCGGCTTTGGGGTCTTTGCTGATATTGACGTTGTTCAAAAGTGTTGTCAATTGGTCTGTCTGCAAAACCCAGGATCTTCCTCTCTGAAGGACATCGATTCTTTTAGGCATATATTTACACCAACTCCCTTATTGCGGCACAGCCGTGATCCGGTTTTTTTCTCTGGGCAGAAGTGATGCGGAGGATTACCTAAGTAGGGCAACCCGAGCGCTAAACCCGTTGTTGGTAATACTCCCACCGGTGTTTACCGGTTGGGGAACGTAAGCAGTCCGCAGCGGAAAAAAAGACTTCCCAAGTTCAGACACAAACACAAGTCCCTAATTCATTGTGCGTTTATATTTACAATCGTGATCTTACATCGTCGATCGACCCGGAAACCAGAGTATTCAGAAGCAACATTGAACTCCTGTCAGCAACAATTGGTGATGGATCCGGCTACTTCCCACCTGTGGGGTAGTCGGCGAAGTCCACTGGACGACATCATGCCTCCCTTGGTCACTGGCTTGATCCTCTGCTTCCCCTGCGATGCCGCCAACCGCACACGGCTCCTAGAGGTTCTCAACAAGGCAGTGGAAGATCTCGTTCGCGAGTCGCCGTCCCTCGCGGGCAGGGTGACTCGCAACGAATCCGAGAACCAATCCGCAGACGGCCTCCGCCCAGGCCAGCTACTGCTCCAGATCCCAGAACCTCTCCATGCTCCCAAGGTCATAGTCAACGATTTGACCGAGTCGCATGAATACAACTACCGCGAGCTCATCGACGCAGGTGTGCCCATGAGCAAGCTCGACAGCAAGATCTTTGCCCCCCAGATAGGCGTCGCCACAACCGCCAACGTCGTGGACTTCCGGGCCAACTTCATCACCGGAGGATGCCTCCTCACAATCTGCGTGCCACACAGCTTCTCGGACGCGTACGGAACCTACCTCATCGTGGCCGCTTTGGCGAGACACTGCCGCCGCCGGTCTCAGGCCACCGGCGCCGGCTCTCCCCCCACGACGCCCGGCGTCCCTAAGAAAGCCAGTGAACATCTCCCCAGCAGAATCTTGGCCGATGATATACCGGCATCACTACGCCCGCTCGTCCCCGCGTCCGAGTACGCTGACCGCAAACCTCGACCGGAGCTCTGGCGCGTCCTAGGCCTTGACTGGCGTCCCAAAGAGGAGGCGCCGGCCGAACCGCCCTTCATCTTGGCGTCCGAAACCTCCATCAAGATGTTCAAAATGTCCGCATCCGCCCTCGCAAGTGTGAAGCGCCTCGCCACGTCCGTCGATGCCGGAGCCGGGTGGGTTTCGACCAACGACGCCCTCGTCGCCTTTCTGTGGACGGCCGTGATGCGTGCGCGTTTCCCGGAGGGTGCGATCCACGGGCGCAAGACGTCGTCGTACGTATCCGTCGCGATAAACGGGCGCAAGGGCCTCGAGGTCCCGGCGGAGTGGCCCGGTAACGTCGTCTTCTGCTGCATGACGGAGCTTCCTCTGGACGTCCTGACGGCCCCCGTCGATGATGATGGCGCCAACAACTTGCCGCTCGTCGCGCAGAGCATCCGGCGGCGCGTGGCGGAAGACCGGGAACCTGGCCTGCTGAGAGATGCCGTCGCGCTGGCGGCGTGCATACCGGACGTGCGACAGCTTGGAAACGCGTTTCGCAGCTGGCTCGACGAGGACCTGGTGACGACTTCGCTAGTGGATCTCCCATTTCACGAGCTGGATTTCGGCTCGGCCTTTTCTGGGGGCGCAGCGGACGGGGTTGGTAGTGCGGAGGCCTTCAGGATGCCGGCAGGGCATTTTGCCGGTATTTGCTGCATGCAGCCTCGGCTGCCGGACGGATCTGTGGAGTTTGTCGTGTCAATGAAGCCCAATGAGATGGCCAGGCTTGAGAGTGATCGCCTCTTCCAGCTTCACAGCACTTTCGTATCGGAATGAAATATGTAAATAGTTGACATTTGCTGACTGCATTTCCAAATATCAGTGCACCCTGAAACTTGAAAGCTACAGAGTAGATTTCCCGCAAACTAACCGGGTCCGAGTGAAGGTATTAGAATACCATCTTAATAGATTTAACAACTCAAGGAGAAAGAGGGTTACAAACGGATAGTCTCTACGGTATTGACATCTCTAATGCTTCTGAACTTTGGAAACAATGCGGTGAAATCAAATCAAATACGATCCGCCTAAGAGTGTATTAAGGAGCATGTGAAATGAGGCGGGAAATTGAATGATCCCTAGAATCTATCTACGAGACAAGTGAAAGACAGCCGCGACTGATGCACGTCAAAGGACGGATAAAAAGCACTCACTTTTCACCGCATCAGAGCTATAGGGAGAATAGGTTTGTTAGCATATGACATGCCCCAAGACTGGACACTTTGCATTATGTACCCTTATCTACCATCCACCAAGACAAAGGACTCAAAGTCGTACGCTGGCCCGTTTATTGAAGCAAAGCTCGACCAGAATAATATGGGCAATTCTTGAATCTTGGCTTTAAGAAGAACTGCAACGGGGGGCGAACTCAACCCTTAGCTCCGGTTTGGACCACATGACATGCATCTGGCTCTTGCCCTCCCAATCCAGGTCCTTGTCCAACAGCTTCAAGTCGTACTTGTATAGTAGCCGAGCCAGAATAAGACGTAGTTCCATGTAAGCAACGCTGTGTGAGGGCCATCATCAGCTTCAATGTCCGCGCTCGTGCTTCACTTATCACGGAACGGCTTACTTGCGGCCAAGACAGGCTCTCGTTCCCAAGGAAAAGGGCTGACTAGCCTCTTTCAGATCCGGGCACATGCTGTTGAGCCAACGCTCTGGTTTGAAATGGTAGGGTTCGTGGAAGTTCTGCTCATCGTGCGTCACGGTCCAAGCGCTGGTATAGACCTCGGTCTGGAGAGCATCAGCTACGTGAATCAAGCAGCAGGTATTGTGTTTGGTTTGGTTGGGGGCTAGGATTTACGTACTCCTTGGGGCACCCAGACGCCGTCGATGTAGGCACCAGGGCAATCTCTTGGAAACCCTTGAGATCCCGGAGGGTAGATGCGAAGGCCTTCGTTAATGGTTGCCTGAAGGTAAGAGAGTCGCTGCACAGATGTGGCGTCGATCTCCTCGTAGCTGGAGAAAAAGCTTCTGATTTCCTCGGCCAGCTTTTCGTACACAGTTGGGTTTCGGAGGAGCTCATATGTGGTAGCGGCGAGGCACGTCGCAACAGTCTCGCCCCCGGCAACACTGGCGACAAATCAGTATGAGGGCCCGTTCTGCAATGGGTATGTTATTATGTCTTTACACGAGGGTGGAGGCGTGTGCCGTTATTTCCTCTAACGGCAGGGTGCCATCTTGCACCATGGAAATGAGGTTTGTAAAAATGTCTTTCTTTTCCGAGGTACTGGCTAATCGCCTTCGGTTTGTTAGCTGGTTAAATAGTAGTCGATCAATTTTACTTCGTCTTACTTATTGACCTTGTCTCGCGTGAGCTGCGTATGCTTCTTGCTGATAGACTTGATGAAAGGAGCGAAGAGGCTTGAAAGGAGAACCAAGAGGGGGTAATGACGCATGTTATCAGCGACGGTGATGAAGTAGAGATGGTTTTCCACCATTTCCGACCAGAAATGTGGCCTACCTAGGCCATTTCAAGACCATTAACACCTGATATACATAGTGAGTGTGCGGAAGGACTAACCGTTCTCGATAGATCGGAATGACTCGCCGAATGCTCCAAGGTGTCAGTATGGATATCGACCTGGTGGAATGTTGTATAGAGAGAAAATGTACCTAGTTCGCCGAGGATATCAAACGCTATCATCTCATACCATTTGGTCATGTTCAAGCCGCCGGATCCGGGCCCCCCTTCCTGTCCAACACGATCGACGAAAAGATTGATGGCCTCGGATACAATGGCTTCCTGCTCGAGCAAGGCCTTCGTAGAAAACGCTGCAGACAAGCTCTTCTTCATCTGGTCGTGCTTCGCAGGATTGCGCTCGCTGCCGATACACTTGGATCCAAAGCCGGCGCCATAGATGTCGTAGAACTTGCTCTTGTTGAACGAGGCCTGCTTGGCCGGCTTGTAGCCGTAGATTGCCTTCCACGAGGTTACGGACGAGAAGGACAACTCGTTCGGGGAGACGCGAAACACGGGACCGTATCGAGCGTGGTTCCGCTCAATGACGCGATGGAAGCGTCCGCCCAAAGAATGGTACACGCGCCATAGCTGTTCCGCACATGATCAGGCCTGAATTTGCACAGTCGGGTCTGGGTATTTCCTTACTAGCCACGCCCTGGCTAGCAGGGGTCCTGGGACCGACGCAAGGGGGTGGAAGTATATGTTGTGGACAGCCGAGAAGAGGGAAGCGACGATGATCTAAGCATCGGAGCCTACTGGTCAGACAAGGAGACAGAGCTGGAAAGGCAAGGCAGCGATCCCACGTCAGTATGTGAGACCGCCGATGAACTCACACCAAGAACAATTGCTAGCACCGCATAGCATGTCAATGTGGGGAGCGTCGCGTCTCGCAGAACGACCGCGACTTTCTGGACAAGGCTGCCGCCAAGACTGGTGGGGTTAAAAGGACTGCTGGCTTGCATTGGAAAGACGGGTGAAGGAAATCGTTTGGATTGAAAAAAAAAAAAGATTTCTTGAGGGCGCTGTTTCCTGCCGACTCTGCCCACGTATTAATTCATACTGGATACGCGACCTCGGGACCTTGTAGGGGACTTCCTACTAGGGAAGTACCGAAACTGCTGCCTGGTGTCCGTCCTCTGCGGCTATTGGAGGAATCGGCTCTTTTGTTAGGTCCTTTTGTCCATTTGTCCTTTTGTCCTTTTGTCCTGTGCCGAGAAGGCCGGAGGTCACACCTTATAAATCAGGAGCCCAGATTGAGGCTTCATCCTGCACTGTAACCTAGGTCTTACTGCCCACATGGCGAAGTTGGCAAGGCCTCTATAGATGTCGCGGGGCGGGGGGAGCGGGGTACGGCCAAAGGTGGGTTACAACATGGAGTACAAAAGTCCCATATAACTACCCAACTTTCTCCAAAATCACCAGGAGCCTGCAGGAGGTAGAAGGCATACTGTATCCCATTGACTGCTGCAAGACGCCATGCGGGGTACGGCCAATAAGGGCTTGTGGTTTCATATACTCTATCCAATGATAAGCTAGGATTTCCGGTATTTCTGTTCTCTAGTTATCTTGGTTATGCCAGAGGTACCAGCAATCTCTGTTGATACAAAGCGGTACATTGCAGTCTAAGCAGCCCTTTCTTGTGTATCTAGGCCGTGGCTGCGCAAGGCTATTTCTAGATACCTCGGATAAGGCAGTTCGGCGAGATAATGCGCCTTTACTGCTGCAATAAGAGCACCGCGAATTAACCTTTCTCGATCCCTTTGTATGGTGTTGCCAAGGAATAGAGGTATTCCTTTTATCTTTAGCTTGCCCAGGCCGAGATCTCTGCCGACCTCCTGCTAATGGTCCAAACTGCTGGATAAGCTGGGCTGCAAGCAGTTGCCGCCATTGATACTGCTTTTTAATAGATCGCCAACTAGGCTTGCCCCAGAGCTGCAGCAGATAGCTGTTCACAACTATCACTTCTAGCAGGAAGTCCCAAGTAATTGCCTGCCAGCTCCCTCGCCGGATAGGGTGGCCCCATTGATAATAGGATCTCATCTGGTCACTAATATTAACGCCGTTCATCTTATGGTTATATTCGTTTATTGGTGCCTGTATTGGTAGGTTCTTCTGGACGTCGGCGCCGAAGACTTTCCGGGTAGCCCGCTTTGCAGCAGTATCTCCGATTGGCCGGCGCCGGCTCCGAATAATATCCTGGCCTTCCCGGAAGACTGTTGTTAAGAAGAGTATAATAGCATTGTCTTTCCAGGTGAACTGGTTAACCTAGAAGAACTGATTAGTATAAAGATATCCTTAGAAGGTAGTCTATAACACTATACCTCCCCATCTAAAGTAGGGATATAATGTATCTTGCCCCAAGGGATATCTTGTCCTTCAGTTGCTTTCTCGGTAATAAGGATCTTATCTATGCCGCTATCTTTCCGGCAGGTGCCAGAAGCTCCGACTTGCTGCTTCCGGAGAGCCCTAAAGAGCCGGACAGAAGAAAAGAGGTTATCTAAAAAGACGTGGTAGATTGCAGCAGGAAGTAGGGCAACTAGGGTCGTTACAACCCGTTGCGTCGGCGTTAAAAGGGCCTGCTTTGCCACCTCGTTATCCGGCGCTGGCCGGGCCTGTGGGACTAGCCCGTACGGGCCCTTTCCGTGGATATGCCAGAGCCACCGGAGACAGTAGCTTGATTGGGCAAGAATCCATATCTTAAAGCCAGTCGGGATCGGCTTAGTCGGGATTGTTGTTGTCTCAAGGGACCGGCCTGTGAATCGGACCATAGCCTCGTTAACGGTAAGGTCAGAGCCGGCCGTATAGAAGGAGTCCCCGGTATCCTGAATATGGGCCGACTACCCGTTAACCTTCCGGCACGTATCCGGCATTGGATTATCTCGGGGCCGGTGCCGGTATTGGCCATGGCTAGACTGACTAGGGAAATTAGAGGTATCGAATATCCGGAGCTGCCGGGGTAGTATTTGGTAACGGTCCCGGGATATAAACCGGGTAAATGGATGAATAGGGTCTTCTTTCTCTTGCTGAGTTGCCCAGTATTTTGATAGTTCATACTCCTTATGGATCCCCATATAAATACGGATTCCTAAGAAGAGGTATACCTCTTCTATGGAGGTCTTTTTCTACTTATATACTCTTGAGTGTCTAGGCTGAGGGCCCTCCTTAGATATCGGCGCTGCATTTGTCCACCGGACCCACTGCTTAACAAGGCTCCGGGGAACGTATTGGAGGAAAAGGTTAATCGGCGTTTTCGGTAAGTCCCGTATTTGCCGGTCCCGGGCCGGTATATCAAAGGGTATAAAAAAGCCGGGCAAGCCAGGCTTAGCCGGAGGCTTATGGGGCCGGACTGTGCTATTATCGTACTTCTCCGGCGTATAGTCGGTAGTACAGCCGACTTTAAGGTCTTCGGGAAGGAGCTCAACGAATATATAGCTCCGTACGGAGGTATCGGTAGCTACGGAGGCATCGGAAGCATCAGAATTACTAGAAGATATCGTAATATTGGTTGAAATGATGGTTTTGGTAGTGATAGTAGGTAAAAAAACATAACTAGGGGTAAATGATGTTTCGTTTTGTACCGATTGAAGTGCGGGGTAAAAATGGGCGCTTTTGTGGATCACCCGTTTTTTTGGTGTCTTGCAGCAGTCAATGGGATACCTCTGATTGGCTTCCAGTACGTATTCCTCTATTAGGGACGTCCGTGTGACAACGAAGTCCTCGACAGGGATCCCTGCGTGTAAGTCGAATTTTGTAACCGACGTGCTTCATTGTTACGGGAGGGCCAGCACAGGCCAGTCCGGGCGTAAAACAATACCCACACGAACCCAGGTCTTATGTACTACATCCTGCACTGTAACCCAGGTCTTACGCTCCACCCTGTCAGCTACTGCGCCTAGATCCTGCAGCCTTATCGTTGTATAGCCTTCGGTGAATGAGGGCGAATCCGGAGAGATGAATATAACAAAGCACGGGGAGAATCTGCAATATTCTATCCCCTTTTCTGAACTCGTGTCAGTTTCTCTGGACTTCTCTGATGGAATTTCACGACTACAGATCATTCTGTGGCTCAATCAGACCAGGTGCGGTACATCGATCGCAGGCGAAAGACTGGCCATTCAGCTTTTATTCCAGAGCTTCCTCTGGGACCGCCAGTCCCCACGATACGTGGCTTGGGGTAATACTTACCCATAACACCATAGTATGTTTGGCACGTGGAAATATGACCGGCAGAATCGTGGGGGCACGATCCGCCAGACCTTCGAACGGGCCAACCTTCGACCAACTCCCCAGCAAGCCTGCAATACCTGTCGGGCAAAAAAAGTATGTATTTCCTTCCATAACCTACGGGATTTTCAACCCGCTTGTGCTGACCTGCTTGCGTTGTTTAGATGAAGTGCACCGGCGAGAAGACGGGGTGCAGCCGGTGCAAGGCTCTCGACTCGCCATGCCAGTACACCAAGCCCAGCGAGAGAGTCAGGGCGTCCCGCAAAGACCGCACATCCGCCAAGAAGCGGCCGGCGTCTACTGGCCCTAAAGATGATGTGGAAAAGGCTGCCGAGGCCGAACTGCTCAAGCCGCCGTCCCCCGTTGACATTGGCGAACGTGCGACCACCACACACATACCGGACGATGCTGCTGAGAGACAAGATGCAGTTGGGTGGAGTGCCTCCGCCTGCTACCCCACGGGGCCGGCGGCGATGGACTGGCCGATGTTGACGGACTCGGCGACGGCGGGACCCGCGGACGAGACGGCTGACGACCTGCTCTTACAGTGTTTCTCCGAAGACGGTCATCGGCCGCAATTCTCTCCGCGCAAAGTGTCTAGCAAGATGGGCTCCATCGACCTTGCGTGGATGGACGGCTGGCGAGACTCAGTAACGCAGGAGAATGAAGCCGGACCCTCACATCACACGGCATGGCCGGGACAGGAGACAGGACAGGCAAAGGTGCCTTCTGCTACTACTCCTACCGGACGTTTATTACCCACGCTGTCAGCGGAGACGATTCGTGAGGACAGCCCGTGCAAAGCAGCATTGCCGCCAGAACAGGAGACTGGAATGAGAACCCCCAAAAGGGGAACTAGGTCGCCGGCGAACGGGTGCCAGTGCCTCCCTCGCGTCGTTCTCCTGCTAGACGAATTCGAGACGTCGCTCAATGGAAGCGATGGCCCAGACATGCCCGGAAGCAGCTCGGAGACGAGTTATCAAACTCAAAACAAGCACCAACACCAACACCAACAACGGCAACATGCGCTGGAATCGACGCTCGCGACCCTCAAAGAGCCCCTGAGCCACGCGCGAGCGATGCGGGGGTGTAGTGCCTGCAACTGCAAGCAGGAGAACATGACCCTGCTCACGTTTCTGATCTCGCGACTAGCTGACTTATTGAACACCACGTCCGCCTCATTGGACGTCTGTAGCCGAAGTGCTAGGACAGGCGAAGCGAGGGGCTGGCTCGGCAATGTCGTAGTAGGAGAGTACGAGGTCGACTCGGACACGGAGTGGGAAAGCATTATGGGCAGCCTGGCGTTGTTACACCTCCAACGGCTGGGTTTGCTGATAGAGAGCATGGGCAACTTGCCCACAATAGCGAACAGCGAGTCGCTGCAAAGACGCCTCGCAGCGGCCGAGAGCAAGTTGACAGCCACGCGTGTCCGACTGTGCTTGTAGAATTATGAATGGCATTATCTCTTTAGTAGAGGATGGATGTAAAGTCCGTCACCCTGCAACCATCACCCTGAAAACCCCACACCGCTATAACTAGGCCTCTTCTTCCACTCTACTATTCTTAACCTGTTTTCACTTAATTATTATCAAACTTTATATGAAGCTTATTTATTAGCAAATAGATTAATATATAGAAGATTATATTATTTAAGCTCTTTACGCTATTATAAAGGTGTCACGACCCGTTATGCAGGAGTAACAACTAACCGACCCACTTGGGCATCGGGCGGCTAAGACAGGACATTTGTACTGTGAGATCATGGGAATAACAGGGGACTCCCTCGGAAACAGAAGAACTATGGTATAAGTCACGTGATGATAAGATAACGATCAATTAGGATCGATATGATCGAATATGACTTAGGTGTTACGACCCAACATGCATGACCAAGAACAGGGCCTGCCCCGCAGGCTCGCAACGGTTATAATACACCACATATGCAGGAGATAAGTGATGATGATGATGATGATGTATTTAACGTCTGGTAACAAAAGGACGTGCCGGGCGTAATGCCGACATGGTCTATACTAATCTAAACTATATTACAGGCTACCGTCTTCACCTAACGTTCCTGTTCAATGACTCGGGCAAATTTCGGAAAAGAAATTAGTCTCCTCTATCCATTCGCATAGAAGAGAGGCTCCCTTAGTAGAACCTAATAAGAAATCAATGCTTACTTTAGCTATATGTTGGCGGAGGTAGCGCGGTGTAGCCTTGCGTCCACGCTTGCAGAAGTAGAAATGGACTGGTGTCTTGGGTTTCCCACAGCTGCAGTTGAGCAACGCATCTTGATGAGCGAATCTCTCGTGGTATGCTGCAAAGTCTCCATGATGGGATCTTGCTGCGTATAGCCTTCCTAGTAAGTGCCGAGGGAGGCGGAGTTCGGGCGGCTTGGGGTGAAGAATTATCTCGAGGTCGGCATATTGCCGAGGGCATTGGGACAGCCATTTTCTGGCAAAGGCTTGGAAGGCAGCTGCTTTAGCTTGTCTTTCTAGGTGCGCTAATGAGGGCTGTGGTTGTGATTTTGGGATTAGTTTGCAGGCTTCCTTGGCTAGAGCATCCGCTTCTTTATTTCCTGGTACTCCCGTGTGCCCAGGGCACCACCAAACATAAACCTGCCGGGGGTTGTCCAGCTCTCTCTTTGTCTCCGAGTCCAGGAGGAAGAGAGCCTATTGAAGGCCCTAAATCTAGCCTGGCTGCTTCCTGTGCTCTGGGAGTATAGTCTAGCCGCGACTGCGAGGTTGTCGAGGCAGATGTGGACGTTATCTGCCATACGAGCCGTAGGAGCCCGGGTGGCTTCCATCAGGCCGTGATACGCAGCATGTGCCTCCGCGTCATACACCTCAGTTTGGGAGCCGAGTGGTTCGGATCCGCGGAAGATCTGCCGTGTAGCTTGGTACCCTACCCAGCCTGCTCCGGCGGAGGTGCTGCTGCCGTCCGACATCTGGGACCCGTCAGTGTAGACAACAATGTCCCGCTTGGAGAAAGTTGCCATCCTGCCTGCAAAGGAGAGGGCCTGTTCTTCTTTGGTCTTATTAGGTTCGTAGCCGACCCTGGCGAGGGCTGTCTGCCAGTCCGCTAGTTGCTCCCAAGGGGGGAGTTCTAACGGATCGATGTATTCGGTATTTTGCTTACGAGGCTTGCCATTCGTCGTAGCCGTGAGTCTGGTCCTGATTTGTCCCTGAGTCTCGTTCGGAGAGGGTGTCGCTCGTCCAGACGATGGATTCTGGTGGACGCTGTGTGGAGCTTCGCGTCCAGTATCACCTCTGCTGGGGGTAGAGCCGCCTCGCGCTGTAGGATCGGTACAGGCGTCGTTCTGTATACGGGGACCATCGCTCTGATGGCTTTGGTTTGCGTCGCGTCCAGTTGGTGTAGCAGACTACTAACCCCGTTTGAGATAGTACGTCCATTCTTTATCCGGCTCTTGCCGGGCCACCATGATTCAGATGCATAGTATGAGTGGTAATATATAAGAGGTGATCGCTCGACGAAGTAAGTACGCAGGCGCGCCCCAGACAGTGTTCCCTAGTCCCCGTAGTCCATTGACTACTTGGTATGCTTTTGCAGAGAGGTTTCTTACGTAACTCTTGAATGTAAGTTTACGGTCGAAGTAAACGCCGAGCTAGCGTAGAGAAGAGCCTTCTTTAATAGCCTGAACTGTATAATACCTCCCATCCGGCAAACCTACTGTAATTAATGGGTTTCTGTCTTTTTGTCTCTTAGTGAAGTGGATCAGTTCGGACTTATCGAGGTCAAAAGTGATTCCTTCCGTCGCGCCCATCCTAAGGTTTTTTCCATTCCTTGGTTAGGATGTCACAGTTATTCTCTAGTGATGTTAAGCTTGCAAGATAGCGACGTCATCGGCGTAGCCGAAACGAGATCGCTTCCTTCCTAGGCGAGCTATGCCTAGCTTAAAAAGAGGTTTAATATAGAGCATGAATAGAATGGGAGACACGGGTGAGCCTTGTGGTAGTCCGCATTCGAGACCGAAGACGTCTCCTACCTCCCCATCAAGCCTTATTCTTGCTCTCCTTCCGGTAACAAAACTTGAGACCCAGCGTACGAGGTTCTCCGGCCATCCTTGTTCGTAGAGGCGCCGGACTAGTCGTCCTGGGAGCACGGCGTCGAAAGCCCCTTTTTATATCGAGCGTAAGTATAGAGGTAACCAGGCCTCTTTGCCAGGCACTCGATGTCGTGATGGCC